CATAATTTCTGGGAAAGCTTTAGTTCACAAGGGAACTTCCAGCTTCTTGTCTTCACTTTTCTTTTCTTTCTTTTGTATAAAAAACAAAAGGAGTGTCACTCACAGTACTTTTCCTCTGGAAATGGAGCAGAACCCTACGACATGTAAACGGGGAAGACTGCTATCTGGCCCAAACCAGAAGATTTCACCATTCCTTCCACTGCTGAAATGAGTCATCGATGTTCAGTCTTCCACAGATTCCCTCTGGCATGGCACAAATGGCAGAGGAATCAATACTGCTGGAACACAGCAGGGGAGCCTACCTGGTACCGCCAGTTTGTCTTCTGTAGTTCTTGTAACCATGGCATCTGGGCAGCAAGAAATAAACACACAGTGTGGAGAACGGAAGCGCTTCTATTTCCTGTCCCTCCCCTGAAACAAAAGAGTATCTTTTTTTACATGCAATTTGTGCTTACCACTCTTGTTTTTAACAAACATCGCTATTAAGTAACTGTCTATCAAATGTCTCAGTTACTTGTTTAAGTTTGGTATTCAAAACCACCAAAATCTGAAGCGTCTGGAGGCACAACTCTGGCTGACTCTGTTTCTAAGCGTTACTTCTGTACCTGCACTCTACCAGAGTAATTTAGTCTAGCAGAGAAACCAAGAGAACACAATCCTTCATGGGGTTTCAATCCTTCATGGGGTTTGGTGCCAATTTTACCATGAGCTCTAAACCTCAACTTCTGTCTCCAGCCTTCTTTTTCCCCATCCCCACAGCCCTCTTTATGCCTAGATATGGGGCCATTTCAACCTTCCTTGCTTTGATAGTTGTCTCCTTTTTTTTTTAATGGCCATAGCCCACAGAGGCACAGATTGAACCCTATGCCTGCCTTTTTTGTCCGAATTTTAGTACTCCGTCTCCACTCAACCGTTCTTTAAGGTCCAAGTATCCACATGACTTCATAGACATTCATCTTCACCCCTCTCAAATCCTCTCTGACAAGTGCTCCATCTTTCCCGAAGGAAGATAAGCAGCGTTCAGCTGCTGATAAAACTATTTTTAAAAAGGTAGTGTTTAGTGATTTCAAAGAAGAGGCAGTGCCCTTTGGACCTCTGTCATTATCCTCTTCCTTCAATTCTTCCTATAAAGTCACAAACCACACTGCAACAACCCAAATGTTTCCAGAGCAACAAACTGTCAGGTTCTATATATAGCCCACATGTCACAATTCAATCCTCATCTTATCAAGGAGTGTTAGAGGTATGGCAACACACAATGCTTGGAAAGTTCCAGATACATTTAATATAGCAGTTTACTCATAGCAAGTCTTGGCAATCAGCTCCAATGAAGTACTATTGTGCACTGATAAAGTCTATTAGGCTTGGAGAAGGGTGCTGGCATCCATCTCATGAAGAACAAATAATGTCTCTCTTCTCTCCAACATGCTACTCTCAATCCAAAACCAAATTTTATATCTGAAAGCTGTAAGTTCTCTTTGGCAATACTCAAATAAGCAAGTTAGACTATGTAAGGCAGCTAGGTGATAAATTCCATCTCCATTTGTAAGTGTCTTAATCACATTAGGATGTAGTGCTGTGCTTCTTGGACCTAACTTACTGCAGCCCACTCAGATACATTGATGATTTACATTATGCTGGCCAAGATATCCTGACCTTTCCCTCTATTACTCTCATTTGTCCTCTTGAAAGGCACTATGGGTACAGTTATTGTTCAATGACTTCCTGAGCATTTGGACCCTCTGCCAAACACATTCAGAAAGACTCCACCTGTACAGCCGTTGTTATCAGCCCAACGAGTAGAAGCTAACACCATAAAATTCATAAGCCTGTGGACACTGAATTAGGAGACAGAGTTCTGTATCACTTCAAACTAATTCTACCCATAAGTGAAGTGTGTAAAAATATTTACAGTTATGTAGTCTGGTCCAGTTGATATCATTCAGCCATGAAACTGAAGACTGTAAACACAGACTTGGATACAGACATCTCCATTTTGTTATTCTGTTAACCAAGAAATCGTCAAACAGCTTCCTTTACACTCTAACAGATTTTCCCTGAAAACCTAAGCCACAAATTCCTGGAAATTCCATTCTTTAAAATGTAAGATTTAGGCACCATCTCCCAACAGCAAAGTACTTACATCAGGGAAAAGACCCTAAGTGGAGCGCTAGGACTCAAAGTTGTGCACAAGCATTTTCATAATCAGGTCTCTGTACTGATTTCAGTTAATTTCACTGCTGACCAGGTGATTCCAGCAGTTTTAATATGTGGCCTGTCTACACCCAAAGCTTTAAGAACTTCCATTCAAAGCAGTTTGGTAATCATCTTCTCATTTATGCACAACTAAAGACAAGGGTAGAAAAATTCCCTCATTCTTGATGTCATGAGGGAATCCTTCAAGATCAGGGCATAAGCCTTTTTCTTAAGTCATACCAGTACAGCAAACTGACAAGACTGTTAGAAACCTTCCATACCACCCCTGAAAACACTGTCCTCCTTTCATTATCACTAAGAAAAAGGAGCTGGTGAGCTGTCCACCATCTTGTTCACCAGATCAAACCTTTTCAAGCTACTTGCTCATAAGGGGTTAGGAAATACTGGAATATCTGGAATCTACACTTACAAAAGTTACTTTCCTCCTAGCTTGCCAGTTTGTCACTTTGCCAGAAGCACCAAGTTCTTTGAGTCAGCGGCTTATCAATACACCAGTTTCTTTCCATGTTCTCTAGGAAGAAAAGAAAACAATAATCAAGGATATTGTTACTCAACAAGGAGAACAAATGTTCTCCAAATTCATGACAGTGGACTGCAACAGGATGCTTTTCAGTACCTCATTTCTCTTTCATAAGATATTTTATATTCACAATCACTATCATTGGGCCAACAGCACTTCATTAGGAATCTTTCCGGCATTTTATCTGAAATTAAAGTTACAAATCTTCCCTTTTACATCAAAGAATGTAATCAACTCAATAGCTCAGGAGACAGGAAGCTGAACAGAGAAAGAGCAGGGGCAGCAGAAGTGCCAGACTTGGTCACAGGACACCAGTGACGCCTAGGGGCTACAGAGGTGGGAGAAGCTGTCAGACAAAGCCTGCTCGCAGCAGCTCTGCAGTGCTAAGAGAGCAGTTATCTGAGTGCACATTGCCAAGGTGGCAAATGCCTGAAGTCACATTTGGCTTGTAATCTTTTTACATTCACAACTGGAGGAAAAAAAATGTAAAAAAAATCACCAAAAGCAGCAATACTTGCAACATACCTAGTAATTTATCAGCAGCACTTTGGTTCTCACACTGTAATATATCAGTTATCAATACTTACACCCAAACACTCACATAACACCTCCTCACCTGAGCTGCAGGTACCCTGCATAAGGGCACGACTCAGACTTGAAGTTCTGTGAACTGCTTTACCAATACACACGTTCTGCACGTTTTGTTAAGCAAGGATCCAAGGTGCTACCGTGACAGAAGTGTTTTCAGACCTCACTACATAGAGCCACTTGTGTATTTAGGGTCAATTCAGAAGACTTCAGTGGAACTTGATGAATACATCATCCAAGTGTACCTTAAGATGTAGTAAATCCAGGTAACACCTTACACAGCACAAGTTTTACCTTTGGAGTGAAGGCAACTCACCTGTGTGGTGCACTGGGTTTTGTTGTTTTGGGTTTTTTTTGTGCAGGAACACCACGATTTCATAGCTTGCAAGTTCCTGGCTCCCTCATGATCACACTATGAGCAACACCAGCTTTTCTGGTAAAAAGTAAAGTATCATAAAACAGTCAGGGAAAAAAAGTACACCTAATTCAGCTCTGAAAACCTGTGTATTTCCTAATCTAGAAGGGAGGAGCGGGGTGAGCTGAAGCAGTATCTGACTCTCACTTTGTTTCACAGCAACACTGAGAAAATAGAAATATTCGGATTCCCCACTTCCTCCAGCCATCAGAGTGCAGAACAAGAACTTCAGCATGAAGATTTCAGCAATGACTAATCACCATACAATTCACATTCATGGGGCTTAACCAAAACTCTCTATCCATAAGCTATTGGTATAAAGCTACAGACAACAGTAGTATTTAAAGATGACATTAAACAAAGTGAAAAGGACAGCACACCTGCAGCTGCTGCTTTCAGACACCACACAGAACTCAGCCACATACCCTCTTCTAGGTATTAGTTTGCACACATTTTCAGAACAGCTGGTCAGTCTAGAGATTCTGCCTTACATTTCATCACTAAGCTTTCAAGTCAAACTGCCAGCAATTCAGCATAATAAGCCACAACTAACTTGTGGCAACTAACACAGCTTGCAAGTTCTTGGGGTACCAGCTCAGAACCGAGCTGCAATATGTGTATTTTTTGCTTCTTACATGGAGTAGAAAGCTCAAGAAACAGAAAGACAACTAAAAATAAATCTGTTTTATTTACCAGTTTTCTAAAAAGCAAAGTCATAAAAATTAGTCACAAGTGGCAAAACCAAAATATATTGCACAGTGTACAGAAAACATTGTTGACATGTTGACAAAGTGTCATCACAAATAAATCATCTTACAACAGCTTGGAAAAATTACAGCTTCAGAATCTTATCTATAAATGGAGGCATGTAGATTTAAAGTTACAGGAAAATATTTAATACCACCCTGTAAATGCAAACACTTTAAGGATGCAAGAATAAGACCGTAATTAAGCACATCCACAAAATGCTCTAAATATACTTTTCTCTTCCTTTCACTAAGTTATGCTTACAAGATGGTCATTGAAAAAAAAGAAATGAGAACAAAAAGAAAAAGACAACAGAAAAAAAAGCATGCTAAAGCAAAGAAGTTCACAAAGTGGTTGAGAAGTCCCTGAAAATAATGTTTAATAATGATGCACTCCTTTATATATAAAGCTTTGATTTTTTCCCAAACCCTGGTCCAATTGAAACTACTTGTGTTTACATGTAATAAAACACAAAAAAGGAATATGTAATATGCTGGTATAGCTGCACTGTTCCATTTATGATTGAAACATTTAATATATTGGACTTGAACACCAACATTTTAATGTTTCTCATTCAGTTTATATACATCTACTGAAGTTTGATCTTGCAGAACTGTTAAAGACAGGAACCAGATCATACTGATGAGTGTCTCATACTGTGTTTAAGATACTCGCTTTTGAAGTGGTGATTCTACTTGTTTTGTAACTGCACACATTCTAACTGAAGAACCTGTCTCCATTGCAAGTTTCCTTATGACACTGTCCAATTAATAATTAATTCACACATTTCTTCCACTAAGCAAATACCAGTCGCTTCAGCATGTTTTTATGGTGCCAGATCTACCTTCACGTCCTCTTTGTATGCAAAGAGAAACGTTTCTATATAATGAAAATAACTTTAAATTTCAGTGAATAGAAATGTTATCTTAATATTTAAAAAAAAAAAAAAACTTTCATGAAAAATATTTTAAGACAAACATAGCAAAGTTAATTGAGTTTCTCCACGTTTTTAACCCCCAAGACCTACAAGCTGACATCTAGCAATGCTGCAACTAGATTTCTTCTAACTAATCAATACTGATAGTTACTCTCTTTTGTTCTCTTCCCACATCCAACACGTACAAACAACACAAGGACAAAGTACACATTATTCAAGTTGATACAATCGCTGAGGCATTAAAATTTAATCCTCGACAAGAAAGGACTCCAGCCACACCAAGTGCTAGATTATGTAATCTGTGAAAGTCAATGGTATTCTCAACATCTCTTTGTAAGAAAAACCTTCCAGTTATGAGAAATGTCTAACCCTCTCTTGCCACATGCAAGTTTGATGTTTGTTTAGCCAAACAGAAAAACGGACGGCCAACACCCTAACAGAACAGACCAAAAATAAAGGTTAAGGTCACACCACGTTTCGTCTCAGTCACTGGATCATACATGGTCATCCTGTGTGTTTTTAAATTTTTTAGCACAGATTTTCTGTGTATAAATTCTCAGAAATCATGCTTCAAGATAACAAGCAGTTCATAGAATTGCAGTGTCCATTGAAACAAAAGGCTACAGAGTTGTCAGCACTCACCTACGCTTTCTTAAGTATCCATGTAAGTATTTTAACCCAAGGTCATCTTAGAAAATTAGCTTAACGTTTCTCTTAGGCAAAAAGTTCCCATAGTAAAACTATAGGAAACAAAGAGGATGGGTCAACTGGTATGAAAAGGGCAAGTTTGAACTGATTTTCTTGAAGGTTATTTCTTCTACTATGCTGGACCACTTCAAACATTAAGAGCAATGCTAAAGAGCTTCTAAGCAAGATTCCTAGAACAATTCATAACGCTGAACCATTACTCAAAGATTTGAAGAACTATATGTTTACAAGGGGATTTTCAGTACTCACAGTACTCATTGACCCACTCAGTAGGCATCAATGAAAGCTTTTATAGTTTACAAAGAAAAACTTGAGGCATAAGTGCAAAATATGAGTCTTTTTCATTAAATAAAAGATATACCATCTTCAACAATGTCCTTACTGGGAAGAGATTGCCACCATTTAAAAAGAGATTCTTTCACAAATGACTCTTTTAGAGCAAGAAAAACATTGTTTTATGAACTGGATTCATCTTGCTGCAAACAAGATTAAAACCTTAACGGATCATCACTGTAATTTTGAAGCAGCTTTAAAAGCAACAGGCTCAAAGGCTATGTTTGTTCTTCACTGGCTTGACTCAGGGAAACCAGATTGTTCTCCCCACTGTCTTCAATCATTTCATTAAGGTCCATTTCATGGATTTCTTCATCATACGACGTATAAAAATTGCTCTGTATATTGTCCTCACAAAAAATACATTCCTAAAACAAAACACAAAAAACATTAAGTCAAAGAAAAAAAGAGCATTTTCTAAACATCAGTCCATTTGCATGTGATCCCTGATTCCAAAGGAACCTGTACATCTGTGCTACACTCAGGTGTATTCCATTCCCCAACTGCTCCCACACAATTTATAACACGTAGTAAATCAACACAAGGTACCCAAAACTCTACTATGAACAGTTACATCACAGAATGTTTACAATTCTGACATCTTACAAGCATTATAAATTTTTTCCTACATTTGATTGCTAACACTTATATGTTTACACGCTCACGTCAGCTGCACTACTTAAGAGACTGAAACAACTGTAGTTTCACACCTGTCAGATGCTCTCACATTAATGCTGCTGTAACATTAATAACAGGAGAAGGATCTACTTAAATTCTATTGCGTTCACTTTTGAAACATTCATGAATAAAGAGAGCCTCTGCATTTGATAGTTTATCTGAAAAAAACCTGCAAATGATGGAGAGCTTAGGGAAATGGAATGCAATCAGTTACTTGTAAGTAAAATTCACATATAACCAATAAAACTGCAAAGATTCTTTTCTTTTCTCCCAATTTGTTTCCTGAGCTATTAATCTACAATCTAAACAAGAGATGATCCTGTAGAAAAAAATTCAGTACAGAGAAGGAAAGCTGTATTCCCATTCATTGCTCACTTTCAAGGAAGAAATAGGTGTAGGTTTCTATGCACAAAACAAACGTGTTTTTCATGTCATATGAAAGCTTTAAGCAATGAAATTGCTGGCTGCATTGATACATAATTTCTAAGAGATGCAACAAAACTAGAAATAGCAAGGACATTTCTTATACCAAATTCACTACTACATTGACTTTTCTACTGGGAAGATTTCTGGTAAGTTAAATAAAGCCAGAAACCACTGCAAGCAAGTTCAATTTTAACTTTTCCTCAGTATAACTGGCCAAACTTTCCAAACAGGAATGGAAAACTAACACAGGCAGCTAATAACAAGCATTGTTATACGTGCAAAAATAACAAACTAATCTAAACTTACAGAATTAGCAACAGTCTTTGGCAGTCCACCTTGCTGGATCCATGGATGAACTTCAATAAGCTCTCTTTTTTGGTCTTCAGTAAATTTTGGTTGTAGTTTCTGCATTTGCTTTAATTTCAGCTTGTCTTCTTTTAAAACTGTTTCCAAATCTCTAAAATGAAACGCATTCAGAAATTGAGCTCCAATTATTTTAGGACTTGACACCTACATAAGTTACACAATCAAATACAAGCATTTTTTTAAAAAACTATTTTTGTTCTGAATTGTTAAGCTTACAAATCTGACATTAGAAAAAAATAAAGAGTGATTTCATCATCATTCTACATTTGCAGAAAACTAAACTTCGACGCATCTCTGCTGGCTTGTTGTCCTTCCAAATCCCACTGAGAATGGCTTGCTTAGAGCTATTAAGGCAGTACTTCCAGTGAAACAAAGAAGTTCAGTGCCCCTCTGCAGCTGCTGCAGCGATTCTGAGTTCTCCTTCAGCAGGACAACCTGAATCAGACACTAGATGCACATATGAGATATGCATTAGCTTCCAAAAAATATACACAGTTATTCTTTTCCAGAACTTCTCAGGTAGTATGCAAGAGATAGAAAGGAAGCAACGATTCTTGACACTGACTTAAACATTTAAACAGGTTGTCTTCTATTGAGACAGTGATTCAGCTCCCCCCGCTCCCCCGCAGTTTATGAAGTACTGAGGTACTGGAATTACCTAGAGGGTATCTGGTAAGTCATCATAACGGTGTCATCTGTGTTTGCCATCAAAAGCCATATTGGATCCTGAAGAACATACTTAATGAAGTGCTCACTTTCTTCTATTTCTGCCTTCATTTTTGTTTTATGATGGTTTTCTGAAGAATCGATACTCCCAAAGTATTTGCTGGTATGACTGGTTTCACTACTCCCTTTAAAACAGAAATTAAAGATTCATTAGCAATTGTCAAACGCATGGATCAGTTCAGTATTTTTGAAGCTAGAAACGGTTAAAAAGAATTGAAAGCATAAAACACCACCACCATTGTATTTCATTTTTAAACAAAAAGGTACTCCTCTTCCCACTTAGGTAATATTTTCAACATTTTTTAAAACCCAATCATTAAAGCTCAACCTCTATGAAGTTGCAATAGAATAATCAACTAAAGAAAAATAAATTTGAAACACCAAGGATTATGGTACTCCCTCCTCATTACTCCATCATGCCTATGAAATGTTTTACAGACTATGTGCACACAAAAAAAATCAGAAGTTCTATACTGTAAATCACGGTAGAGAGGACTGTCATGTGATGCAATGAAAAAAAAAAGAATGAAGATTAAATACAGGAGTGATTTTTCCATGAAGCACTCAGCGTTCACCTGATGTCTGTAGTACATCATACTGCAATGCTCCTAACATGCTAGGAGTATTCACTGCCTGTGTTACCTGTTCTGCTCCCTGACATGTCACAGCCATTAGATCCGGACCCGAGAGATTCAGCAGCTGCAGACACTCCGCTCCCTGATGAAGCTGAGCCAGTGCCTGAGCATGCATCTTCTTGAAGTAAAATGTCAAGCAGGACACTGGACATGGAGAGCGCATCGCTATTTTGAGCATCCATTGGAGACTCAGCCTGGAGACAGGAGAGGAGGGAAATAACAACAACAGAAAATTACGGTCATTTCATCTCCAGTTCCTCACATTTAGTATTAATCCACCTCACTCGGTATTCTGCTAAGCTCACACTGCTTTTTGCTTGTCAGTGTAAACAGTTACAGCACTGCTAACCCTCATTAAAAGTTGGCTTGAAGAACTTCAGAAATTAACGTTGATGAAGAACTTAATAGAATACTTTGTAATACAAGAACTAGCTTCAGATATATCCTCAGTGCTTTCCTGAACTAATGCCTGCTTTGCCTTCATGTTCAAATAATGATGATGAAGTTACAGAAAGTAATATTTTGCACGTTTCTGAACAATGGGAAATAGCCTTTTGAGGGAATTCAAAAGGATTTCCCATCCAAATTGTCAGTATTAATTTTTGTTATCAAGATTATTTTAATCCAGTAGCGACATCTCAGAGCATGCAGTTAGTTTCAGGCTGTCACAGATGCACTTCTTTACCACTGCACAAATCCAAAGTGTTTTATGTATGTCACATTATGTATTTTACACACACACACACGCACACACTTGTTCTCAAGATCATGAGGCAGCAAGCACGCAATAACAGAACACAGAAAGTTTTTGCATGATGTCAATAAAGTTTGGAAGTTTCACAAGAAAAGCAGATATAAGCATATTCCTTTCTGTTCCCCCTCTGTTAATCCTCATTAAGAATCAGTATCAAGACTATTAGGTAGGTCAAATTAATCATCTAGAAACTAAGTTCCTCAGAGTTTGTACGTTTGTCCTTCCTCCTCCACAATTTCCAACGTTGGTACATACTTATGACAAACTATACAGCAGTCATCTAACCAGCTGTTAGCATCAGCATTAATTATGCTCTATGACTGATTACTTGGAGCAGGTCAGATCTCAGGCATGCCAGTAAGAGCCACACCTTCCAACGCCTGCTTTCCTTTACACAGCACTGAACTCAAATTGTACTCTGTATGCACTGTCAGATGCAGTGAACAGTTACAACCCTCATTAGAAGAAAAGGCAGAGGCAGGAAGACATTCTAGAAGGCTTAGGTTGCATCCCATCAGTGACATAGCATTCAGAAAGATACTATGCAGAATCTGTAGACAACATTAATATATTAGTCTATATCATCATCATAGAAATCTTTACAGACACAGCACTCCATCCAAGGTTTGTCAGATTATTAGATTAATTGATCCATCAAATTTAAACGAGCCAGGAAAAGAAGCTGAAGTTATCAAACAGCTTTAGGGGACAGTGCACTAAGAAAACAAAATAGTTAATGTCTGCAAGCAATATCTCATAGTTTATTTTGACTACTTGATTGTAAACAAAGATGATTTTCTTTATATCAGCTTCTTTCAAGATCTCAGTTATAGATTGCTTCTCCCTCACTCTCTTCTCAGAAATGCACTACCCAAAAACTTTTTGCTAAACATTAAAAAAAAAAGTGAACCAATAATTTGAAATCTATTTTAGTGCTTCTCAACGAATGCATTAGCACTCGCATTAGAAGAAGCAGAGCAAAACTGATTTTGGATTCATATTCAAGTTTCCTGGGGTAACTTCAGGAGAACAAGATGACTGTCTTAAGCTTTAGAAGTTAACATTATTCAAACAACTGGATTTCACATTTATTCAGTCTACCAAAATCTGAGTTCACTAATTGCAATAGTGACTCCATCTCTAGAGACTACAGACCACTTATTAGGATGTAAGGTCCACAAGTGAGTTTTGAAAACAATAAAGCAGAGAGAAGAAAACAGAAGAGGGAAGAAGATCCACTGTGGGTATCTCTACATTTTAACAACCTTAAATATTCTTAGAGTGCCAAGATTTTAAAAGGAAAACGCAAAAAAGAACATCAACATACTTACTGGTAGGGATCCCTTTCCACTACCATCATCAGTTGTCATGATTTTGCCTATGGCTCCTTCCTCATTTAGAGCTCCATGCAAACCCGCAGGAGCTCCGCTTTCCACAGTTTTTGTGTTTTCTTCTAACTGTAGAAGATTCAGAGGAGAGCTACACCTTGATTGGAACAAAGGCGGTGAAGCCTGGTCTTGAGGACCCACTGACTGTGGAGTGCAGGAACGGGATGGCTCGTTTCGTGTCTCTGCGACAGGAACCTTTTCAATTTCTGCTGGTGGATTATAATGGAATGGTTGCGTTGGAAAAAATGCCTGTTGTGGGAAAGGGGTAGGGGTAGTGAATGGAGGCTGCGCTGGAAATACTGTCTGAGATGAGAAAGCAGGATGGGTAGGAAAATTGGCTTGGCTGTGGTAAAGCGTTTGAGGTAAGCTATTGTTCATTTCTGGGTAGACGTAGTTGGGGAGCACAAGAGCTACAACAGGTGTCATAAGGGGGGCAGAAAACTGGGACGGTTGCATAGGGCAAGTATTTCCCGAGTCTGGCAGCTGATTAAAACCAGAGACTGAAGTCTCAGGAGCTGGTGGCACAGTCCCTGCTGCTGCTGGAAAAACAGGAAGTGGATATGCAGGCATAACAGTTGGAAAAGACATCGCTGAATAGCTTGCTTGTGAAGTGTCCGATGGTGACCAAGCAGTAGTATTTAAACCCTGAAGAGGAAAGCGATGGGGGAATTTAGTTCCAGAAGTTGTACTGTCTGAAGACTCCTGTGGTTTAATGCGTTTTGATTTCCTATTTTTCCCACTTTTCTTCCAAGGCTGATCCATTCCAGAAGTTCCATTTCGTTGTCCACGGCCACCTGCAAAAACAAAAACAATGACCAAAAAACCCCCAACAAAAACCAAGAACAACAAAGAAAACATGCATCAGGAAGGAGCCTACTGGCAATGTGATGGATCCCCTACACTCTGGCATCCCTAGAAGTTGCTCAAAACTGTAGTTCTGGATTTTAAGTCTGTCCACTCAAATGGAAGGATGGGGGAAGAGATCAGATTCACTTTCACCTCTAGCAAAAGAGCTGAGCAAACCAGGCAAGATAAACCGTGATGACATGACTTAGGGGAAAGAAAATAAACAATAAGAAAAGAATAGAAGTGGATCAGCTAAGGCTCAGATGTGCCACCCAATCAGTACAACAGTGCAAAACAGTGGCTCCCAGAGGAGCTGCTTGAATCAATACAGCAATTACAATGAAAGCAGTAGAGGACACAAATGAAAGCGCTTCTGGAGAGTTAGAGTTGTACAGGTCTGTAACTGAAAAGGTGAAGAACTAAAAGCAGCAAAGAGAAAGTACACAAAAGAATTTTCTTTTGTGAGCCGAAAGAGCATTGAAGCTTCATAAATTCTGCAAGAAAAGTACAGAATCTTATTTCAGAAGTCAGCACCAAGCAGCTCTTTCTTAGGTGAAGGCTATCAGTTCATCTCTACAGACATGAATAAATCCATCAGTCATCTTTTATGTTTAAGTACTTAAATATTTAAAAGCTGTTCCAACTTTTAGTTTGCGTAAGGCTTATTCAGTCCGAAAGTTTATCAAGGATAGAGAACACAGAGCACTTCGGTGTTCCAGAACATGCTTCCTAAATCAAGGACCCGCATATCTCTATACATATCAAAAATGAAAGATACAAGAATTGGCAAGAAAATGCTTCTCAGTATCTGACTTCTCTTCCAAACAGAACCAAAATGGAAACATAGTCAGGTCAGTACCAAGCACTCTTGAAATGTCATTTTGAGTTCCTAGCCCTAATGGAACAGAACAAAAAACTCACTGTTACACAGCCTGTTCCACTTCCACCCCCCACTGACATTAACTTAATGGCAACCATACAGTTAGATTGTTCCACCAATGACACAATAGTGAAATGGGACTAACTGGCTGTAAATGAAAGCAGCTGGAAAAAAGCACTGAAAGATGGAAAGGCAGAAGGACCAGAAAAGCAAGAGAATACAAGCACAGACAGGAGAGAAAACATTCTGAAGTTGCATTTGTCTCTTGAAAGTAGATGCATAACAATAATAATATTATGAACTGATAGCTAGGACATTAGTAGCTATTGAAACATTAACTATTATATTTAAAGCTATATTCCACCCAATCTTCAAGGCAAGGCCGTCACCAGAATTTTTCTATAGACTTAAACATAGCATGTGACTGCCACTGGTCACAGTGGCTCCCTAACACTTAAAAATGCAAATATCCTCTCAACAGGATTCACTTCATACACAAAGACAAAAAAAACAAAACAAAACCAAACTATTGCCATACCACGTTCACCAGGCCTTCCTTTAGGTTTATCTTGTAAGTAGTAATTGCAGTGGGACTGGAAAATATTGAATCTCTTGATTTCTTTGAACTTATTCAAAAAGCTTTGCTCTTCTTTTTGTGTATGCACAGCAAGGACTTCCTTCGTAAGTCCCAGTTTTTTAAATGACTCCTTTTCCTGATTTACGTGCGTAGAGCTCGATGGAGGGGCTGGAAGTTGGCCATCTAAGAGTTCTGCTCCACTTGGACCATCTTCTATCATCTCTACAAAAACGGAAGGAATAAAAATCGTGATCAAGAGAATTGCATATGCAATTTAAGCTACTACAAACTGCAGTAACTTCTCTTTGAAAGTTTAATATAATAAGTTCTGCCTCTATTTATTCAATTTCCATGAGAACACCTTAGCTATAAATAATGCAAGTTAACAAATAGGTACCAGGTGTTCTCATTTCTGAGGTTATACTTGCTGGAAATCAGTATTTTGGCAATGACATACTAGCAGAAATCATACCTAATTCAGGTTGTGGTTTTTTGTCTCCAACATGAACAATGGTGCTACTGTAGCTGCACTGACTTGTGAGCGATACAACACTTTCAGGTTTGCCAGGTAAGGCCAAAGAAGTTAAGTGAGCACCAACTACTGGGGGACCACTTGCTTTACCAGACGCCTTCAACACTGTAGAGTCTATTAAAAAAAATAGAAAAACAAAGGAAATTACATATGTAAATAAGCAATATGTTGCTAAGGTTGCAGAACAGCAAAGGCTTACTTGTGCTTAGCAAGATAAAAAGTGAGTATTTCAATTGATCTCACATGTTTTACCAAGAACGTTTGAGGAATAGAATAACTTCTGAGCAAATAAATCTAATCCTCTACTCTCAGATACAGTTAAGCCAAGTCTTTCCAGTGAAGGACCTCTTGATCTTTCCTAGGCATTACTCTTCTTTGATGGTTTGACTTTGGAAGCTTCTAGCCTTCACCAGCCTAAGATGAAGTCCCTCCAGTTCCCATCTTGCTTTATGTTAGTCTCTCACATAGCTGGTTATTAGCTGTCAGATGTTAAGTTTTGCTCTAAGCATCTGCCTATTTAAGTTCTTTCACTTGAAAGCTGTACACAATGCTCCAGCAGAGGTCACATCAATGCCTCGTGAAGCATTCTCAAAACATTCTTTCTCCAGTATAAACACTCAGCAAAACTCTCAGTGCAAGACTAGAAGTTAGCCTTCTCCTGACTAGTATATGCTGTTTACCTGGTCATTCACAGTTACCTGTGCAACAAGAAGCTAGCAAATCCCCATCCTTGCCTATCAACTAGAACCGCCAGAGACTACAGATGACAGCAGAAGCTGTGTGCCTAAGCTACACGTCATTATTCTGACAAGAAGAAACAGCAAATAAATAGAGAAACTAATATAGAAATACCTCCTAAGGGTTGTATAGCATTAACAGATGCTTTTTGCTCATGAACACCAGAATTCACACTTGATGAAGGTTCACATTTTCTTTTTGCTGTACCAGGCACATTACAACTCTCCAAGTATCTAAAATAAAAGAATTTAACAATATTAGATATGTAAACCTGAAGTCTAGAGCTCAATGGTAATTTACACTCCGGTTGCTTACCTGATGACGCTATCCAAGCAGCTAATCTGTTGGTAAGAATATACAGGTTGTTCTTTCCATGCCAACTCCTCAGTAGCCACATTTTTAGGAGTGGCTGTAGCTGTGGTATCCTTTCCTATCACTTCTTTCGCCTGACCACCAGGACCATTTTGTTTTTCTGTTAAGAGATTGTTATTATACAATCACAGCATTAATTCTTTGAATTGCCCCTAAAAGTTTCAGTAAAACAGCAGAAGTTTTCTTTTATGCATATTTCTTAACAGAGCAGAAGTTTCTTAACAGTGTAGAGCAACTAAGAAATTTGTGTCCTAATATATGAACATTGTGTAAATAGCCCCCCTGTTCTTAGGAATTCTTGAGGAATAAGATTCAGTTAAGCTGATGGAGCCAAAGGGGACAGATATAATGGATACAAAAGAAAAGATATAATTAGAGCTGAAACCCACTCACAATGAGAACAAGGGTAGTGTACAAAAGTTGTAAAATAAGCTGTTACTCATGTCTACAAAATTTAAACTGCATTAGGAAGATTTTCATTTATTGACTTAAAAGTTCCTGAAATTTTGTGAAAATGGGAATAACAACATCCTTCATCTAACAGGAAAAAAGGTATTTGACTTATGAGCTACAATTAAGGAACTTAAAAGCAACAGCTCTAGGACATCTTCACTGCATGTTACATCATTACCAACAGCTAGGTCACATGTTTTCCTGAACACAGAGGAGAGATTAAGGACAATATAAAGAACAACAGCGTTTATTTATTGAAATTGATTAGAATGAAACTGGAAAGCTGCCTACTCATGTCACATCATGCACCACTGCAATAAACTAGCACTTAATTAACTTACTAGTAATACCTTACCTGCAGAAGGTTCTCTCTTATGTTCTAGTTTTCCTTTATTCTCACTGAAAATATGCTGTCCTTTAGTTTTGACCTTACGGGCATCTTGACTTATCTGGAAGGAGGCCATTAAAAACGCTCATATGAAATTCTCACACAAGACATTGTGAATAGTGCTTCCTAATTTTCTACATAGCTTGAAAGTAATTTATCTGTGAAACAAAAGTTCCAGAAGCTTAATTTGCTTAAGACGCTAATGTGTGACGACTGAAAGGCAGCAAGTGACCACGTTGGCAAGCACAGCAGTCTGCAATGCCTGATCACAAAAGCATCAATTGAGTTCAGAAGGTTCAGCCTGAGTGATGTAACTAAGGAAAAATTGAACTTTCAGAAATCAACTGCAGTTCAGCAGGGCTTAATGGGAATGGCAAAAAGATTTCACATCTTAGAAAATGGTACAGTTCCTTTGATTGCAACCACTATTCAATACACTGCTGCCCAATTCACTGCCACTGCCACTCTCTGTGGCACAGTTCTGATAAGCAGAAGCACAAATTTAACTCTGCTGGTTTTGGTTCTTTTTTTTTTTTTTTTGGTTTTTAATGTCATTAGTTTGAACAAAAATTCTCAGTATCAGTTGGATACAACAATGTCCTGCAAAGTTAAATTTTAAGCAAAAAACTTCCACTCCATATTATACAGTGCATTTTCTGCAGCATAAAAAGGTCACAGGCTATCATTTTTGTATGCACTTATCATATGCATTTTCTAATCGAAAATAAGAGATATAAACTTTCCCCTCAGAAGAAACTGCTTTCAAATATTTTTTTTTTTTTGCCTAGAAGCAAGCATATAATGGCCATCACAATGTGCTAACAGCGTCCACTTTCAAACTTATAATTGTGCTTCAGTACCCTGAGACTTCATCTGCAGCGCAAATATTTATTCCTCCTGACAGAAAGCTTTTTTCCATATTAAACAAATGACAACACTTTCCTTATACTTCTTCCCATCCCAAATCAAAAAGACTTGCACTAAAAGTTGAAAACCGCTCTGTTTTGTATCCCATACTTGAATTTACGAAAATAGAAAACTTACTGTTTTATCCTTTTGTGTGTCATCATTATTATTTCCTGTGCTGTCACTGGAGGATGCCACACTCATTAAGTGTTCATGTGAGCCATTGCTACCTAGACTTCCATAGCCACTGGATCCACTGTTGTGTACAGGCTGTTAAAAACAAGAGAATATACAGCCTCTGCACCAGCTTTCAACAAAAATGAAATTGTTATTAATAGTTCCATGTGAGGTGAAAGGGATTTTAAGTTTTTTTGCACAGTTTTGTGTTTGTTTATTTTTTTTTAATTGTTTGTATGAAGATGCCATAGCTGCATTAAATCCTTAAATACCAACTGGAGCTTTAACACACTTAAGTGAGTCATGCTTGGCAATCAAATGCAAATAGTTTCCAGGACTATAGCCAGAAATCCCAAAGCAGTGGAACAGTGGAAGATAGTTAAACAAAACATCACATGAAGATAAACACCCTTTCTTCAGTGGGAATTTAAAGTAGTGATACGAAAGCACATGCTGTACCTGTAGTAATAGCCGATATATTTGCTCCGTGATCTCCTGAACGCTGGGGTGAAGGATTCTGTCCTCTGTGTAGTTGGGAGCAGCAAAAACATCCTCATTTAAGGGACCCCTGCATAAACCAAACAGATCCCATTCCATTACAACTGCAAGTGCTTGAACTGCAGAGACTACGTCCTCAATTTGCCATCTATATATAGCAAACAGGATCTGACCATTATTCTATTGCATCTGAGGCCACTGAATTTGACAAGATGCGCATCCTTACTCACTTTGAGTATAGCTTTTCTCCTAAAGCAACTCTTGACAGTATTGACACAATACAAAACAGTTCAAATTTCCTTTATGTAAAGCAGCTACTACATTATTAACCCAAACATAAGAAGGAAACAATTTATGTGGAGGGGGAATTTTTCCCCTCTCTAAAACCGTTAAGGCTTTTTGAAGTATCACTAAGTAGGCTGGAGGGAAAAAAAAATATTGTGGCTATTGACTTACGTCCTAACTTTGTGTCTTCCAATGATAAATGAAACCTTTCGACTCCAAGGATTGATGAAACTTGACCAGCTAGTGTCCATGGTTATATAATCTCCATTTCTAGTGCAAAACCTGATTGGCGAATAGTCAAAAGGCTGTCCTCCATATTGAAGTACTGTTAAGAATGATCCAAAAAAAAGTCAGTTTAACATTTGCAGCTCTAATTAATGATTCAGAGTTAATATGACTGAAGAGACAGCTTTATATTTTCATAATTTAACAAATAAACATTGCAAGAATGGCTCACTTTATCTTCATGGACTGCTTATGAAATGAGGAAGGCTACACTTTAAGGTATGACAACTTCTATCATGCACACTCAGGACAATTTTCTTTATGTATGAAAAATTCACATACAAATTCGCTTACAGCAGATATGCTTCACCTCAAAAGCGAAAGTGAGGAAATACTGAATTTCATCAATTTGCATAAAGAGTCAAGTTGTAAAGGAATACTTCAACATCTAATTACTTGAAGGTAAAAGTGTATTTTCCTTTTTCGCTTAGTCCTTTTCAGATGTCACTTTTAACCTTCAGGTGAAAAAAAAAAAAAAAAAAAGATATTTCTTCCACAGCAAAGAGATTACATACTTTTTTTGTGAATTGCTAGCATTAAGGGTCTGTCATTTGGGTGAAGATGCACCAAAACTGGTGTTCCTATTAAGTCCTGAGGTAGGTATCCCAACAGAGGTACAGCTCTAGAGAAAGAAAAACAAAGGAAAAAAAAAAACTTATTTATATAAATCAAGTGAAATAAATGTTTGCTGAATCTTTAAAATGTTTCCATTTAAGTTTCATTTACTCTTTTTCCTCTAATTTTAAGTTCAAATTTTGGGAAAAGCAGTGCCAGCTTAGTAGTAACACTCTTTGAACAGGGCTGTTTTGGGGGTTTTTGTTTGTTTGTTTTTATTTGTTTCTAACATTACAAAACAGCGCTCAGACCAAAGTAAAGGAATCTGCTACAGCCGTTCTCCTGTCTTTTCTATGCTGCCTAGATCTACATGCTGAGTACTTACCCTAATTTTAAAAGAGCATTAATAAAATTTAATCTCATAAAACTCTCATGAAAGTAAATAGTACCCCCAATCTATGGGCTGCATGCCAAGGCTAAGGAGCACACGGGATTACTGCAGCTGAATCAAGCAGGGCAGTTGACTAGGGTACAAGAAAACTTCTTCACAGGCAGGTTATGAGTTTAACTCTGCAAGGAAACAAGCTTATTAATTAGAATAAATAACTGAAAGTAATGTTCTTGCATTCCTTGCATTAGAAGTAACTTCTAATGATGAGATGAAATCACTTATGGAATTTATTGAGCTTTCAGGAATGAGGGATAAATCCCAGCATTGAGATGCTTTTATGGTAGCCAACTCTGTTTTCAGTAAGAAAAGAAAATAGAATAAAACCCTACACTGTCACAAAGAAAGTCCCATGTGAAACAAAGGAAAGAGAAAGCAAAAGGAAGGAAAAAGAAAGCCTGTGTTTTCAACTCACACAAGCAAACTTGCTCTCATGTTCTTATAAAATATTATGATATTTCAAAGCACATCCTTCAAAGCTTTAGAATATTGACGACACCTCAGCCCCCTATGCCTTCAACTCTGTTTTTCAAAGTACTATCTTCCATTCCTCATAGACTTCCAATTTCTGTCACCCACACCTTCCAAAAGGTACCGGACAAAAGCAGTCCAGAAAACTAAAGGAAAGTTTGCTTTGCATCTTAGCTCCAGAGCCTCTGTGAATGACTTAAATTCACATCTATTGTATCTGGCTATACTGAACTCTCATCAGTTTCCAAGACCATCAGTGCAACACAAAAGCTTCAGCCAGTAGAACCTGAGTAGTTTAACGGTAAACATAGAATACAATGTTTGATGATTTTCTTTGTTGTTTTTTGTTTAAATTGATGTAATGTTACATTCTATAGACATAAAAAAAATAAATAGTAGCTTCATTCAGATAGTGCTTGCTGAAACAGGACATTTTCCTGTCTGTGGATTCCATTCTTTGAATTTATTTTCTGGATTTGCCCAAGATGGAAAAATAGAAGAACAAGTTGTTAGCAGGCAAACACAGATTTCCACTTCAAGACCACAGTGGAAGTGCTTTCATGCTTTATTTATTTACTTAAGTAACTTACCTTTCATCTACATCCTGGAACAAACAGGTTGGTGTGTGTGTTGTTGTAAAAATTCTTTTGTCTGGAGGAATTCTGGGTGCTGAGAGAAAAATAAGAGGTTGACAAGTTTATTGTGCATGCATATATTACCTAAACTGTATGTTTTAATTAAATGCTGAGTAAAACCTAGAAGTCTGCCTAAGAGCATATAGAAAAGCATGTTGTTATCTCACAGCCTCTCAGCAAGGGCAGAGAACAGAACCAATTATCATGTACATCAATGAAATCAATGATAGGTACTCCAATACACTAATTTTCTTAGGCTGAAATTCAGTTGTGCCAAACTGCACAGAAGTTCCTGCAGCAAAATACTAAACAGTTGTAGATTTCATAAAACAAAATAACTATTTGTCCGTTGAAATTATTACCTTCATAACCAGAATGCACTTTTTCTGCAAGCAGCACACAGCAAAGTTGGTCCTCTGCTACTTCTGGATCTTGTACTTTGATAAGGTAAGGAGTCATCCGAAAAGGGTGATAGCAAATCTCATTTTCACGCTCCTTCCCTGCACTAATAATTAAACAGAGACTATTATTTGCACAGATTCATCTCACACTGAACAAAGCTTTATCTACTGTAATTTCCTTAGTTACAAAAGGACTGTGTAGTAGCTCCTAAAACAGCACCCAAGAATTTTGCTTCCTGAATCTTCAGTAGAACAGAACCTAATTCAGACAGCACCCTTTGCACACTGACTGCAATAACGCATTCATTGTCATCTTTACTGCTTCAAATAAGACCCACAGGTGCTTTAAATGGAAACTGCACAGAAAAAGAAAAGTCCACCTCTTATGATAGATTGTTTTATTGATCCAATAATCTTAATCTGATATTAATCATCACTTTAACCTTCACAGAGATTGATAAAGTTTTATTTTATGAAGCCTGTTATAACCCTTCAGTTAATAATTAAATACCTTCTTTTACTCAGTATTTGGGCTTATTTAAAAAAGAACAAAGTCTCAGAAGTTTTACCTATAGTAACAGTCTCTGACCAAGGAATAAGAACGAAAACAATACCCAGTGATTAAAATATATATATATATGAGCAATAGGTATTACTGCATTATGGATTTACAGAGTAAAAACTTCTGGATCAATGTTATTTAGAAGAAAATACATCTACAAAAATACCAGCGGTACTTTTACTTGGAGTTTGTTTACAATATACTAATACCTTAATTATCAGGTATTTATTTACTCCAAAAAATAATTCAGTAATTGATAGCAGTTCTGGAAAGACAAACTGGGACCTGTGAGGCAACAGATAGCAAAAAGAAAACTAAAAGAACTGTACCACCTATAGACGACAAAGATGACAAAGTTACCCTCATCTATCTTTACTGGGCATTTGAGATAAATTTAATGCACCATTACTCTCACGGAATGAAAGAATCAGTAGCAGGTGCTGAGCACAACAGTTCAACTAACACCCAATGAAGGCTTTCTCCACAGCTGTGAAAGATACTGTATCAGCTCTATTTAGGGTGCAAAGGTCAATATTCAGACTGATTAACTTCTAAGGTGCAACTTCCTGCAGCCACTTAACAGTTCTCTGCATAGCTTCTGGAACAGCAGGATGACAAGCATGTGCTTGGCCTTACGTTCACATTATGGGATAATAAGAAACTTGCACACTGTGATTCTTATAAAGGTCAAATACTTTGTAATGCATAGTTTCATAACAGCAAGTCTGTTATAACTGTCTTACCTGATGCGACAGAAAAAAGATTTCTCTTCCATGCAATCTTGGGTGGAAGACTCTAGAATTATTAAACATTTTATGAAAAGTTACTAATTACTATGATATTATGATGTTTAATACAGTAACTTTTCCCCAATAACAATAAAAGAGATGTAGCTTGTATCCCTCCAAAAGTTTTAGGTTCCTGAAAGCCTTTGATGTTATGCTTTTCTGAGACTGGCATGTGAATCACAGCTGCTTGCTTAATAAGTTTTTTGGCAAAAACACATCTGAACAGTTCTATGGTCTGAACTATTTACCCATCTGCTTTTTTTCCACTAACTTACAGCACTGACCAAAAAAGTGAGTTTCCACAACTCCCCAGGCTGGACTTCTTTCCTAGAAATGTCCTAGAAAGGACAGTCAGAGCATCAAATACATTTGCAAACCTCCAGCAGTCCAGCAAAGCCCAGGCAACTCTCACAGCTTTCCTCCCAACTCCTTTTAAGTCTATTTCCCTCCCTTTGAAAAAGTGGCCACAGACTGACTTGCAAGGCACACTCTGGTCTTTCAAAGACCTCACTGTGCAATACTTCTAGATATAACATAGGATATGGATGTTGGCACATGAGATATGGTACATACTTCTATTTAAACTGCATTTCTGATATATGAAGCTATATGCAAGCAAAAAAAAACTATAGAAAAAAATTAGAAAGTTACGTAGGCCACTTGAACAAGCAGGATCAAATGGTCAAAACTGAACCTCTTCTGAGCCAGAGGCTGGATCAGAGACTTCAAAAGGTCCTTTCTGACCTAGTTAGTGCACAAACTACTCTGTTGTTAATTGTTTCCTCAAAGTTAATACGGTTCACATTCTGACTTAACTTCATAGACTTAGTCTACAGGGATTGGAATTTCAAACATTTAGAGCAGAACTTGAAATACAAGTGTTTGCTTAAAATAGTTGGCAGCTATCTTTCCGTTCCTAACAGCTGTCTGTGCACAAGTAAAACAACCTTCTCACAAACAAATACTAAGTGACTTAAGAGATATAACCCCCTTCAGCATTAACATACCTGATATCCTTTTCCCAAGGCTAAAAGAATTGATACACAAATTACATTTGATAAGTGCTCAATGATATTAGCTGTAGTACATCTTTCTATACAATTACCAAGGTGTCCAGTATACAAATCATAACCATTATAGAAGTAAGAAGGCAGAATATTATCTTTCTTTTATCTAAAGACTTTTAAAAAAAGAATTCTGGTCATTTGATTGCAAGAAAACTGTGGAAGACAAATCCACTTTCAGCATGAATACCTACTTTAATTTCAATCATCAGCTGGATGAGAGGAGCCCAGGAACCAATGAATAACAGCAATCAGAAGACTTTTAGCCAACAGACAAGCTCTTCTGATATATAAAGGCATGTTATACGTGCCGTGTGTTCAGAGATGTTCTAGAAATGCATGTGTGCTATACCCTCACTAAGTAATAGGAAAGGATGAAAGGATGTTTAAAAGAGACTATCATGACTGAAGATTAGAGAAATGTCTGCTGTTGGGACCACTCACCAGCTCTGCTGCAAATATTCCAAGATGGTAATCTGTATGGGGTAGTAGAAGTATAGAAAACACTGACATCCTGAGGTGCCAATAACTCCACAAATTTGGCATTTTTAAAATAACCCCTCTTACAGCGAAGAATCGAAGCAGCTTGATCAGAGATGTACACAATTTTCCCAGTAATCAAAGATACGGCTACAGCAAACATATCCTAAGGAGAAAAACCTCAAAATTAGGCAGTTTAAAAAACGTTCTTCAATGTATTTATTGTTTAAACAATAAGATGAAAGCAAGACATCAAGATAAAAGTATGAAGTTCAAAATAAAAAGGAAATAGAATAAAGACAGTTAAACCACATCCATTTATGGAGCAAGAAAATACTTCTCTTGTGAATTACATACATACTGCATACACTTTGAACTACGCAGTAATACACTCTGATTTTCCCAGGTTACATGCCCTAAACATCATACAAAGGTGTAAGGAGCTTCCAACTCAAACTACACGAATTGCTTTCACAACAGTACTTGTGTTACAGCCGTATTTGACATTGATGAGATTCAGCTGCTTTGTGAAGAGTTGTTTATGTTAGTTTGTTCATTCACTACATAATGAAAAAAAGTGCTCTAAACCATTTGGTAAAAATGACGAGCACATAGGTGGGAAAAAAACCCCAAACATATACAGACTTCACTTGTATTATTTCTTGTTGCTTTTCTGCTCAACACAGAAGAGTTTCCTGCGTCACAGACTTTAGTGCCTACCTACTGTTACTGTACACAAGCCTAAGAATTGTCGTCACACTGCATTTACAAACTCGTGCTTTGGATCAATTCATGTTTTGTTCAAGTTACACTCTAGACTACTCTATTTGTTTTACCTTCTGGGCAACTTTGTTAGTCATAGGTTCAATAGAAAAAGGACTTCACACTAGGAAACACCCTCCCCCTACCTGTTATTTTATTAATTTTGGAATTACATAGATTCAGAGGGAGACTTCAGGAAAAAAAAAAAAGCGGAAGGCACTCTAAGTTTAGATGTAATTATTGTTGACTTCCATAATAATCCTAAAGCACTGAAAATGGGGAAAATAATCATTCTGACTACTTCTGAAAACCTACATTGATCACCACAGCTGCTCTTATCTAAAAGAAGAGACAGCAACACTGGTTCACAGAGTAAGCTTGTGCCAGTTGCAAAGACCACAGAAACCACAACAGAGGACTCAGCAACTCATGGATTCAAACACTTTGGTCACTTTCCAGTCACATAAGCACAAATAACAGTTAAAGCATCACACAGCTCCTACACAACTGACAGCTCAAATGATTCATTATGTCTCTAGACTAAGCTTTGTAATGAGATATGCTGTAAGTGCATCTCCTAAGCATCTTAAGAAGAAAACTAATCATTTACACATTTTCACAGTGCATTACATCACATGGATATTCAGATATATCACACCATTGTCCCTAAACAAGAGATACAATTCATATGACCAAATGTTTAAGCTACTTATTTCCCATCCATCTAACTGACAGAAGAAAAAAAACAAACAACATTAAGTGCTCAAAATTTCTCCTTCACATTCACTGGAAGGCAACAGCCATCTTCTTCAGATTATTGGCCTAGTCATCAACTTCTACCTTGTAAAAAGGAGGCATGCTTGAGAATTCCTATTCCAGAAAACGTTTTACACACACACTGTATAATTGTGCCAGCATACTCACTGCATTTTTCATGATGTATTCTGAGGTTATAGTCTCAACTTCTTCCACTGTATAGGATGACACATTGAGTCCAGAAGGCTGGGATTCATTAATCATCAGCAACTGGTAATATTCCTCATTGGCTACATCAAGAACATAAGAACATTAAACAATTTATCTTCAGAAGTAGAAAATCACATTGGTATGTAGACAGTCCAAAAAAATTTGACTTTTTTTGGCACAAGCACAGAATGGGCAGTTGGAAAGTCTACGGTACTATTCCAAATGAGTTACTCCACAGTGGAATTTCCTCATCAGTAACCCATGCACTTTTGTCCATCTTAAGACAGTTACATACACATTGTATTATATTTCTGCCTGTTTGACAGTTTCAAAATTTGAAGATAAATAACAACTTCGCAAGCAATTTTACAACAAATACCAGTAAAACACCAAGCATTTGGCAAAACTGCCTTAACTCCCAAGTAAATATTTAATTTTACCCAGATCAGTTTTATTTAAGCAGTATCATATACTTGTTTACCTTTAACTTGTTTAATGCTTTTAAGGGCATACTTCAATGCCGTTAGGACACTAGATTTGCCTTTAATTCTCTTTTCAGCAGGAAGGTGAGCTTTCAGCTCTTGTAATGTCTTCAATAATTCCTTCTGTGTTTTGGCTTTAGTAGACTGCTCGCTGCTGTAAGAATAAAGACAAATAATAAAAGTCAGTTGGATGCTTGGAGTAATACATCATCCTCATAGAAACTCAAATACACTGACAATTGTCACACAGTTACATATGTGCAGCTAGCCACATTAAACTTCTCTATTAGCTAATATCAACATTCAAAACTTGTAGTAATTCTTAAATTAGCTACAATCGCTTCAAATGGAAGATTTATCACAACCAGAAATCTTATCATAAAACACATATACTGCCTGTATGTGAAATGGTACATTTATACACACATATACACCCAAGCACCAGTGAACTTTTTTTTTTTTTTTTTTTTTTTTTGCACCAGTCTCCCTTCCCCTTTTTTTTTGTGATATATCCCTTAGTTCCTTTAAAATTCAAACTCTCAGAAATGTTCATGGACTTCAAAGTAGAGAAGCAGGAGGTCCACTCAAGTCTTCACCTCCTGTTCGAGCAGGTTCTCATAGGAAAGGTCCCTGAAAAGGGAATGGCAGTGGGAGAGCATCAAGTTAACAAAACAAATGGAGAAATGCTTGGAACAATGTATTCCAGTTAAGCATGGCAATACATTAAGTAACATAAGGAAGGCTGAGTAAATATGAAGGGTGAAGAATCAGAGGAGGCAGCTGGAGACAGATATGTTATTAACATTTCTCAGGTGCATGCTCAAAAGTGTTGTCTCAATGCAGAAGGTCAAGCTACAGCAATAATCAGTGCTAACACTAGAAAATTGCCTTCCTTTGAAATCCTTGGTATCTCTTATTATTTAAGAATGATGATAAAATCAAAAAGGAAAAGGAGGGAAGAGAAGGGATGGAGAGGATGACAAAGATGGGTGACAAGTGGGAAGAAAGCAGTTAAAAAAAAAAAAAAAAAATCACCTCATCTTTGTCATTGAAAGAAATTTAAAAGTTAATCAGTCACAACAATTTAGAGGATTTTAGACCTTTTCTTAACTCTCCCTAAAATTCAATTCATTCCCACGGAAAGCAAGGTCTTCTATTACCACACAGTTGCCATGGCTGGCACTGTCTGTGGAGTTGCCCTAAGGACCACTGTAGAAACAGAGTTCTTGGCAACTGTACTACCCTTTCTGAAGCATTCAATAAGCAGCCTCAACTTCCAGGTAACTTTCAGGAGGATTTCAGATTTTTTTTTTCCCCCCCCCCAAGAAATTTTAGTTGTTCAGGTAGATGAACTCATCTGACAGGTTTGGGGTATACTTCACACTAAATGCTTAGAAGGTGAAAAGGCTGCTTGTACTGGAATATACAGTCATAGTTCTTGTTTGCACCATAACACTATGATAAGCATATAATTCAGTTACTCACTGGCTATTTTATACTGAGAAATAAATGCAAGGGATAAGAGAATACTGTCATACTCCCTTGGGAAACTTAATATTCGCCCATACACTAAAATCACATCTACAGTATGGCTTGATGGTATTAGATTGATGCAATCTAACAGGGCCTTTTCAAAGAAGAACAATCTATGCTAACAGCAAGGAGGAAGAGAAAAAGAAAGACTGAAATAACAGAGCATACTGCTGTTTTTGTATCCTCTGGGCTTGCTTCTTAAGTGGTCAAGAACACTTCTGCCAGAAAAGCTTTTCCAAATTAGCCTCTAGCAGTAACAAATGCAGAAGGCTGCCTCCTTGGAAAATCAGTTATGAAATTCAAAAATGTTTTTCTGAAGATCTGTAGCATCAGGCACAGTAGCCAGCCACAGAGAAGCTTTGACTTGCAGAATACAGAATCAGCAAATTCTACAAAAATAAGAGCTTTCTGTTTTGCTTTATGTGCGCAGTCCAAAAGGTAGTTACATGGTACAAACATTGAATCCAAAGCCCAGAAGTCTTTGAATCAAAAGCTAAACCTACAGTTTATCAGCCTATTGTAGACATCTCTTTCAAGACCATCTACAGGTGTGCTCAGTCAACTGAGGTCATCCCTCTCCCATTCCAGAAAGGCTGAAGATGATCAGATTGTGCTCTGAATTAACTGTGACTGGCAGTGGGGGAAATACTGTACCATCTGGATTTCTGAGCAAAGAGTCATTAATGAAGATTGCTGTTTTTTTGTTTAAAGAACAAGGAAATTGAGTCAACAGGAAACAAAGATTAAGAAATGTTTTTGGTTCACTCTGTTCTTGATAATGAGCAAGAAGTGAACTCCAGACACAATTTCCACACAAAGTATGGAAGATTTCCTTATGTCCACAAGGCAGGCATTATGTTCAGCTCACACCAAGTGGTGCAAAGGAGTATTTTTCATTTATCACATCTTGAGGATCTGTATCAGGCAGAAAACTTTCAGGTAGGTATATACAGATGGGGATCTTAACATCAGTATGCTAAAGCTGTCCAGCTTTAGCTGGTCAGCCTAATGTCTTGGTCTCCTAATCAGAGGCTGACTTAAAAAACAAACAAACAAAATAAACCTCAAGAAGAGCAGGACACTCTGAAGTGTCCAAATTAGAGCCTTCGATGACACCAGGTTTCTCAAGTCTATCAAGATCAGTTCATACTGCACTCCTGCAGCAGGTCTGCCCTTACAGACTAAAGGCTTGAATCCTGGTGAGTGGAACACGGAGAGGCAGACGATATGGCTGCTGGACACCAAAACATATCCAACTCAATGAGTGAATTCCAATTTTAAAATGCTACTAGGTTGTTTCCAGGCAAGGGCTTCAGACTAAAATCTGAAGAGCAGAAAAATCCAAGAAAAGTCTCCAAAAAAAAAATAAATAAATAAAATAAAATAAAAAAATCCATGCTTGAAGCGAACCACAAAAATAAAACTGAGGCTAAGCTACCAAGTCAAAAAAGGCTAAGAAACCTTACAAGTCATCACACAACTTGTGTGAAACGGCTACAAAAAGCTCTGATTCGATCAAGTGGTTAGGAAGACATGCTGCTGATTGCAGAAAGGAAGAGAATCAAAGACAGGACATCATCTCCCATGTGCACTCCAATTTTAGCCAAAGCAACATCAACTCACAAAACATCAACAACCACCCAGCATATAGCATCTGTTTTTACATTTTTAGCATCTGTTATTACATACAAGCAAATTACTGAAAATATATGTACATTTACCTGCATCCACTGCTAGACTGATTGTGTTCAGAGTTCGCAATCATCAGACTAAATGCATTTGAGCTTGAACTAAAACAAGGAAAGCCAAAGAGATTAAGATCAGTAAACTTTACATAAAAGTTACTTCATTTTAGTTTTACAGTTGCTTAGTCACAAATGTCTAGAACAAAAGTCAAACTTTAAGAGACTACTTAGTAAGTATGGAAACTATACTTGCTACACATTTAAGAAGGTACCTCTTGCTCTGTATTTCCTCTGTGCACTATGCTATTACTTCAAAGATGAAAATAGCACACATCCATCCTGACTCTTAACAACAGACACTTTTTGCTATGTAATTACAGGAGTTGGTTTACCAAAAGAATGCATAAATAAAGCCAAAGCAATGATGAGAAAGAAAACATACAGATTAAGTTGGATGTGTGAATCACTGTACTCTATGAAGTGTAATACATTACATAATCTGCATTATAAAAGATGACTGGTTAACGAGTGGAAATCAATACTAAGTTTTAATCTGGAGATACAGTTTATACCACAGTTGTAACTCAAATTAGATTCAGATGGTAAAAGACTTCGGTGAGAAAAACAAAAGTGAACTTTATTTAATACTAATAACTACCTTTTATGACAGTCTGAAGACTCCATGAGCATTGCTGAATCTTTCCCATTTTCATCAGATTCATGGCCATGAGAATCATGTCCACTGGAGTAGTTTTCATTCGTCTCATTTCCACTGAAGTCATTCCCACTGGATCCACTGCTCATCTCAATATCTTCCTGAAGAACTTCAGGAGAGTGTTCAGGTTTTGGCTGAATTTCAGAATCTTCAGCAATCATCTGGCTATGGTTACTTGCAAGTCCAGAATACTCACTCATTTTCTGTTGCTCTTTTAAAGAGAACAATGAAGAAATGTTTTCACTGATATCAGCTTGCTGCTCAGGGTTCTGCTCTTCAGTGCTAGAGTAGAACCCCCTGACCTTGATACCGTCCATGGGACACTCATTAGAAACACTGCCAAGATCAAGTCAAGCCATATTCAGAATTTTCTGTCTGTAAAGATTCTGTCTGGAAGTACAGACCCACAAATCTGAGGAAGAAGGGAAGGAAGAACAAAAGCAAAACGATTTTCTTGTCTACCTTTGCTGACAAACTGAAATTAAGTTATATTTATGTTTAATGTTCCCAGCATTTCAACAGTGAAAGTCTCAGTTAAATATAATTGCAATTCTAACAACATTTTAAGTCTTTTTAAAAAGAAGTATTTATCTTTTAGTGAAAACTCACAGAAAAAGAGGAAGTGGGATAAACATGAACTCCTCAGAAGTTTAAATATTCAGCTGTTTGCAGTTGTCACACTTAATTTTTGATAGATTTTCTGTCTGGATTTGGACAATAGCTAGTAAAGAATATTTTATGCTCAGTGAAACTATTTTGCTGGCTTTCAGTTCACCTTGGAAAACAAAAAGATTCCGTTGATGCATCAGGTGATACCTAACTACGTATGGACTTCATTTACTTAGTTTTAACTACACAGTCCTGCTTTTAAGATCAGTTCTCTAACAGCAGAACCTCTCTCTCTACTTCCTCTGTACAGACGTCACACAGGTAAGCAGAATGAACATACAGCAGGAGGAGGGAAACAAAGTATGAAACAACTCACTTATCAACAAAAAAAATTACTATGATACAAATATGCCTGAAGATAATTTTAGTCATATCTACTACTAATTCAGTGAAAAAAAGGCCCAGCACTGTTTAGAAAGGTAAACGTAAAGCAAAACAAAAATCCCTTCTTTTAAAGCAAATTATAATATGGAGCATATAAGGAATTTAGTGAATAACAGAGTAACGCCGAACAGACAAAGGAGAAATGCTATGTAGCAGTTCAACTTTTCATACGAGGTAAAGATGCTTCATCTGAACCATCTCCCCAACCAGTTAACAGCCTACAGATAACAATACTGCAGACTTGAAGCTACGATTCCCTGACCATGCAATGCAACATCAAGAAAACAAGTTGTTTTAAGAATCATGTTTGTTCCCTCCTCTTCTTCCTTTAGAATATTCAAAATAACAATCCTTGACTAATAAACCTCTCTGGAATAACAAAGGCAATACAGGAAGTCTGCAGGTAAGTTTTCCTAGTGCTTTCTGCTAGTATTAACTGCAACAATTGGCTTTTAAACTTTTTTTTTTAATATTTGTGTAGTCTTTAAGAGAAAGCTTTAACTTAACAAATATTTAAAACATACCATGATTCCACTCCCCTCCCACACAAAAAGCATTGAAACTATTTTCTTACCCTTTTAATTGCTGTTTTTCCAGACATTCTACATTTATTTCAAATTTTTCAGAAGAAAAAACTGCACTTCTCCTCCTTTGGCCAAAGAAATATGCAAGATATCTGTTTTCATTTGAAAGATGAAGTACAATTTAGGGACACATACTTAAGCTTTCAGCAGTGGTGATATATTCTATCTTTCTATATGTTTCTATAGAAAGCGTGTCAAAAACATTTTTTCCTCAACAAGATTACTTAGCAGCTTTTTCATATCTAACTGTCTGCCAACTCAGACTGTGTAGACATCCTGTTACAGTGCTGCACTGAATAGCAGTATACAGGCAAGAAGTTACAGTTTAGCAGCTCTAACAGTTATTTTCTGGACTAAGAAAACAACTTTTGCTTTATAAATTACGGAACTGAAACGTACAAGAAGAGAGTACTGACTGTTAGATGAATTGTTTCACAGTGGCCCATGATAAGCTAGAGCAGACATCACCTCTCATCTACTCCCTCCTGTAGATAAGGCTCACACTGTCCCCTGCCTTACCTAGCTTCACGTTTTAGAGATGCTCTAACCCTGTATATAGCTCACTCTTAACCATGCCTGCTCCTATTGAGTGGAGATGATGCTGAGCAGTGCTACCCATGCTGCAGTATAACTGCAGTATCAGGAAGAACACCATGTTTTCACTGTTAGTGACTGAAAACATCAAGGGGCTGAGACAAGCAAATATAGAATGTGACACTGGGGAACACCTATATGGATGGTACGTGAGGAAAAACCAAACAAAAGTCACGTTACTGTACAGGAAAGAGAACACACATAAAAGTGTTAATGATTTTGCTACTACTTCATGTATTGCATAATTAAGAGCAGCTACTGAGTTAAGAAAACTGAACTTGCATTCAAGAAGCCAATTCTCATGCATCATCGATACTATTATTTCCCAAACAGCACTTATGTTGTCAAGCCCTATGGACAATTCAGTGAGTCAAGGTACTCCAGCAAACTACCCAGCTAGCAGTGGGATGCCCTTCAACTTTCCCCACAAGAATAAAGGTAGGCCTGGTGATCCAGTTGAGCCTATTTCAAGTAAATGCCTTACGCACAAAATCCTATGGATTAACTCCATCGTGATTACAACAAAACTTTTGAAAAAAGACAGCCAAAGCATCACCTGAGGAGATCAGACAATTACACAAGTAAGTATTTTGTGTCTAAGGCAGGATTTTGATCATATTTTTTCTGAGTACCGCTAGGAAAAGAAACTTAAAAGAAGAGGAAAAGGATATTGCTGTTACAGCTGTATCTGCTGCTAACCTGTGTTACCTTATTTCTTCAGAGGTAGAAACAAGGCTCTCAAAATACAGAGGCTTCTATACTAAAATCCCTTAAAGAAAGCTATTCACAGGCTCATATTCATGAGCTGTCAAAAGACAGACTGAGTGTAGCCCTCAGTTTTCCATTGGTAAATAGTCCAATATTACTGTAATGCATCTATCTGAAAAACTGTGTTATTTATGAGAAGGGCACTGATCATACCACAGACTTCCTACTTCAAACACAAATATTCTGTGTACGAGTTTAAGTGTGAGAAACCCCTCTGAAATTCTAACAGCACAGCGTATTATAAATGATGCAGTGCTCTCAGTCTCCACAGTTGCCTGCAAATCTTTATTTTTTAAAGCTTGCTCTGGAAAATTATTTCCCTAAAGTCTTTTCTATCATCTCTAGAAGCTTAAGGGTCAATGAAAGTGTGCCACAGTAGCATGAAGAGGTTTGTGGTTTGAAATTTTGAGTTGTTAAAATACTGATGAGCAATTTCTTCCACTTCTGAATATTCTCTATTGTCTCTTCCTTCCCTGACATCTAGGCCAGCTTTGCCAAATATTTGTAGCAAATTTCAATAGTTTCTTTAGGTGCATGAGAACTGCTCCCAAAACCTAAACTGTGCAGGAACTTTGAAGGGATTTTCCATACCTCCTTAAACAAGTGCTGATTTATCCATTTGTTTATGTGGAGCCATGTGTTTAGATTAAGGAAGTCGTTAACAGAAAATGTATAGGTATTGGCCTACAAGAGATATCATACAAATTTTTTTCCTGTTGACACCTGGCAGAAGTGTGTGTTAGAAGTGGTTCTGGTGTGCTACACCCATCCCTAGTTAGCTACCTGACAGGGCTTTTGCATGGTTTGCCCACAGCAAGCACCTGTGCAGTGCCTTCCTAACTGCAATACACTGACTATAATTTGGAGCCTAAGGACAATGGGAACAGATAAAAATAAAGGTATCCCTTCTTGACAAAGAAAAAAAAGGCTTGAGCTTATTTTTATTGGCATATTTAAAGAAGCCCTGGTGTTTTTATCCAGGACTGGAACACAACGTGACTGTAAACCAACACTGCACAAAATCTGTTTCAAAAAAAAACCATCTCGTAAGTCTTCATGCTAGATACACATCAGAGAATAAAGGACACAAAAAATTAAATAGGGAAGAACAATATAAACATGACAGGCTTCTAAGAACTTAGAGGAAAAATTCTGATGCTTTCACCAGCAATGCTGAAGAGATTGAGACAGCCATTAGTTATGTCTACAGGTAGGAACAGAACTGTGCAAGAGAAGCAGCATTTAAATCTTGCTGGTTTTGCCTGCAGCGTCATGAAGGATCCCTTAAGAAAATTCCCAATGAAGAAAATTCATAATGGCACAGAGAAAGGTGTGGAAGCTGGGGCATATGAAAGAAAAGAAACATTTCTAATAGAAGTTTTCTAATGATGAAAAAGCCAAAATCTCAAGCAGCAGTAACAATAGCATATACAATGAATTTGGTGGGATTCTCTAGGAGACTGCAATTAGTGAAAAAAGACAAAGTGAGCTGGAATGCCAGGCACAGAACATGGAGTGCAGTAGGAACAGGCTGCTGCACCTAGCTAGAATGCTCTCAGTAGAAAAACCTAAGAGGAATATCTGCATGCACACACAAGCAGCAAGCAAACACTTCAGGAATACAGAGGGTCACCCAGCCCAGAGAGATTAATTAATAGTGAAACTAATCTCAGACCAAATGCCATAATAAATTGCATATATCCATTTCACTTAAAGGCTTGAATAAATATCCAGTAAATAACCAAACAAGAATGAAAAGGTAAGAGCAAGCATGCTTTCCTAGTCTGAGATCCTCTCTGGATAGGCCAGCTTGAGGGAGTTAACTGCATATCACATCCAGTACAGTAACCTTCTACAGAATGTCACTGCGCAATAAAGAGCCCTCCCAGGTTTGATCTCGAGATAAATTACCACTGTTCAATTTCTTAACTTTCTGCTACATCTCTCTAAATTTCTGAAGTGAAGTTACTTTTGGATTCTGAGAACAAAAACTCAGCCTTAAATTGGGACCTACGGTCAATCTGTCAAAGAATAGAAGTCTGAATGAAAAAGGCAACGTTTCCATTGAGCAGTAAGGTTAAACACAACTCGTGGTGGATGTACAGAAAATGTCTTCGGCTACTCATTAGCCAGAGAAGCTCTTATCACAGTAATACAATGGAAAGAGCCTGAATTTCAGAGGTCCCAGAAGAACATGCAAAATACGTAGGGCAAAAGCTTGAAGAAGCAACAATTCATGCTTTTTAGAAACTCTCTTAAGAGCTAGGATCAGGACCACAGAACAGAAAGAAAGCAAGCTTCTTTTGAAACCATGACACAAACTAAACAAATCTTATTTCAGCAAAGACCCGCTTACATTCAAAGAACTTTTTTTTTTCCAGATTGCTTTCCACAAAAAGCTAAGGCTACTGCAAACATTTAAAGATTGAAAATGTAAAAATCCAAGGATAAGATGAACTAATTCAAGAACTAAGTAAGAGGAGAGCATCCAAAGACCAACAGTTTGCTCGAGTCTGAATTTGCAATTAATAAGAACTTATCAATATTAAAAAATGAAGCAAGAAGCACACCGCAGTTTATGAATATATTTAGACATGTTAGTGCTCAGGGACTGTAACTGTATTAGCATCAATAGGCAGCATTCCTCACGGTGAGGATTTTAGCTTTCTGGAGGCATAATCAATGTTTTCTGCATATCTTCTGTAGGATTACCTTACAAAATGATAATCTTTTCTATTTGTATGATAAATAACTATCAGAGATTTAATCCTATCACGCAATTTAAGGAAAAAAAAGAAAATTAATGCCTACAACAGATGCATGGTCCCTGTGCTATTAGACCATAATTGAGTGCTTAGTAGTAGCAAAGAGTCAGGGGAAAAAAAAAAAGCTTGTATCTCAGTTTATTAAAGTTTGTTTACATCTTGTCTAGCTGTAGAACTTGACCAGCAATAAAACCACGAACTTCTCATTTTGCAGCAAAAGAACACATTCTAGGAATGGGGAAAAAAATTCAGTATTCTAACTTCACTATGAGGAAAAGAACAGAATAACCATTCCCTGCTTGAAGATACAAATACTTCCTTTTTGAAGATTTCTCATTTCAATGAAAACCAGCATATAAAAAATTTGCTTTTTTCATAGAAAGAAATGAGGTGTAAGCCAGAATTTTCTATTTAAATCAAAGTTACCATTAACATCTAAAACATCACAAGTAATTCATAGAATGGATTTCATAGCACTCAGAGCATTCGGTTTACAATTCGTTGATAAAGATCCATCTTCAAGCTCAAAAATACCCTAAATACAGAACTGTTAAACAACAATAATAAATAAATATAATTATATGATCACCCTAATCAACTACTGCTTACAGCTGGCATTCACTGTACAACAGAGGAATCTGCCAATACATTATAGCCTTTATCCAGAGCCACCCAAGTGCCAGACCTCAAAGTTACTATAGCATCTACTCAGGAAGAAATCAACCTAAGTATCAGGCCAGGCCATTGGGTCCAAAGCAAATATACCTGCATTTGCATTGTTTCTTTAGTGAAAAAAATTCAAGCCTTTTAATTTGAACCTAAGTATACTTCTAGGCTAAAAATCTCTTGCTCTCAAATAATGCAATTCCCAGTTCATATCAAAAACACAGTTACAAGTGAGCATGCATACAACTGAAACCAGTTTTAAGATAAAAGGGCTGCAGTGAACGTAATGCTTCCTATTTTATTATGTTGGTCCATGGCATCAGAGGCAGACAATGGTGATATGGCAGTAGAGGCTGAGCCTTCCCACCAATACTCCATTACGTTTGGTTGCCGTGTGACAAATGGCAGCAGAGAGTGTGTATGAAGCAAAGGGATGTCACTGAATTCCTTGATTCACAGAAGGTAACACCCACTGACATTCATCAACTTTTGCTAGCACAGTAAGGTATTGGATGGTGTATTTCAGCAGTAGTGATAGCAACAGTGGCTCACCTCCACTGGTACAAGTTGTTGTGCTACAAGCATAGCATTCAGGCTTTTGCTCACTGCTGGCAGAAATGCATAGCTAATGGTGACGACTCTGTTGAAAAAATAGTGTTTTGTAGCTGAGAATTTGCTCTATCAAACAGTGTTATTGTGTTCTTCATATCTGTTGTAGTCTCCATAAAAATAAATAGGAGGCATTACTTTCGAAGCAGCCAATATAAAACAAACAGAACATGTTTTCTGCATAAGCCCTACATGGAAAAAAAAAAAAAATCTATTAACAATAGCCATAACAGTTATGTATGTTCCTTACCTGTTTTTTCCTATGAAAAGTTTGTGAAAATGTTTATCAAGTTCCCTCCCAGCTAGCATCAAAAGCATGAAGCGCCTAGGTCCAGAGTCTCCCACATGCATTCAGTTCTTGTCTCATCCTCTTCTACTGGAAATCTTTGACCATTACAGAGTCCGGACACCTCTACAACTATAAAATATAAAAGAAATACCTGGGCCCCCCAACAGTGTCCTCTTCAAACAGATAGCAGAGAGATGCTCACAGTTATGCCATTCCTATGCAGATAAATATTGGTTAAACATGAAACTGTCATCCAGCAGAGGAATTAAGATATAAACTTGCATTTATAACACTTTTATCCTGGTGTAAGGCCTCATAAAGCTAAAAAAATAACAGAACCTTCCACACTAAATAACCTCTCATCTCTGCATTGACTTCTGATTCACTACCAGTATGGTGTCATACTATGCATGTTAAGGGCTACACAGGCTGGTGCAATCACAAAGGACTAAATTCTCCTGTAGAAGACAGGAAAATGCCCAATGTTTCCAACAGAGCCTCCATGTGCTAAGAAGTTCATTTGGAATATCCAGATTTAAGATCTGAACTAATAAATCTAATTTCATCTCAACCTCTACAGGCTTTTTATAAGCATTTGTTTTAGGCAGCACACAAACTGCAAGTTACAGAATGGTTGGAGTTGGAATGGGTCCCTAATGGTTATCTGGCCCAATCCTCTGCTCAAGCAGGGTCACCTAAAGCCAGTTACACAGGACCATATCCAGATGGCTTTAGAGCATTTCCCCAATGGACTTCACAACCACCCTGGGCAATCTGTTCCAGGGTTCAATGGCCCCCATAACAGAGAAGTGTTTCCTTACGTTCACAAAGAAGTCTGTACTAGCAAAGTTCATCAACACTATTATTCTTCCTAAGAAAATTACTTTCCTCAGAAAGATCCTAGGAATTTTGTCAGGGAAAAAAAAAATCTGAAGGCTGCCCTGTTAGATGCAGTTAACTAAGTACGTTGATACTGGCCACCACCATGTAACACAAAGTAGAATAAAATTTAAAAACTCTAAAAAGCAACATTTGTGCTTCAAACAATGACATCACCAAGTATTTCAATTGAATATGCAGAAGGAATGTTTGGAATGGTGTTCAAATCCCAAACTAACTGTTCTGGCATGCAGCCACATTAATAATGCTTTAATTTAAAACATTACACATCTAGCAACTGCTGGAAGTGCGTTTGTGTTGGCCAGACTTAAGGAAGAATTTATTCACAATATTCCACTCCTGCATAATGCCACAAAGCTGATAAGCGTTCTGCAAGTCTGAGATTACAGTACAAATCTGTGTACGTTAGTTCTTTAAAGGCTGTGCCTCTACAGTTATTATATATTGATAAAACAGGACTTAATAAGCTCGGTATCCCTGGCAGAGTGTGTGAATAGCTTTAACTAGAGCGACTTTCAGATTTTGTCATTTTTAGCATCCCTACTGAAAACGTGCAATGTCTTTCAACACTAGCTAAATCCTGGTTTAAAAGACAGCTCTTCCTGTTTCCTCAAAACAAACTCGCCTCCCTGAAACGCATATTTCCTTCAAGTTTCTACCTTCACTAATCAAGACCTACAAGAAATTCACAAGAATTTGCCTATTTATGAAAGGACAGCTATTATTTGACAAGCTTCATGATATTTTCAGTGGGGGAAAAATGGGTTTAAAGTATAGGTTTGAAGGGGATATTCACAATAGGAGCACAAACCATTTTGATTGCTTATGTCAGTTAAACCTACTTATACATTTCAGAAGATACTAAGAAAAAAAAAAAAAACAAAAAACAGAAGAGTCTTTTAACTACTTAAAATTCTCATCATGAACCTTTCTACAATTTAACTGAGAGCTAACATAGACCTCTATCAGAAGGAGTTTCATGTGAAACTACATAAAACTCATTCAAAATAAGATTTTCAGAAAGACAGTTAAATCTAACTATGGTGTTCTATTATTAATTAGAGGAAATATGCAATTGACTGAGAAAGCCCAAATCCCAAAGAACTAAAATAGTTCATCCACCTAATGTCTTTTCCACAGAAAGTCTGAACTGACAGTATACCAAGAATATAGAGCTTATGGCAACATTTCCTTCCACACTGACTATTGCAAGCACAGACAACTGCAGAATTAGAAAAAAAACAAACCACCTGTTTTAGGGAACACACCTGTATTACACGATCCAAACCAAGCAGAATTTCTGAAGAGAAATGAAGTCACACCTGCAGCATGGAAAAGAGAACAAACATCATCAGCTTTAAAAACTTATTTCATGTCAAGTTTTGCAACTGTTGTGGGGGTTTTGTTTTTAATTATTAGAAAAACCAAGCAGTGTAGTATTAACAGCAAAATATATGGTTTTATTTTCATCTCTCTCTTGGAATATGACAGTATCATTCAGAACTGTTGTGCCTCCCTCTCTATCCTTGGGCCAATACTATTCCATTATCAGACCACATATAAAAGAGTCACTGTTACATTTTCTTTGCAACGTGGACAACCTGCTTCCCTTATTCTCTTTGTACTCCCAGTTTTTTTCCCCTCCAGTTCACTTGCTCAATTACTTGAATAGGAATTAGAATAGTATTAGTTTGTTACAAACTACAGCACAACTCATCAAAACTACTGCTGGAAACTACAACTTTCTAAATCAAATCTTAAAAGAATAGTATTTTCCTGTTCTCCTGAGCTATCATCCCAACTATCTGAGCAATATGAACAACTTTGCTTCATGGGTCCAAAATTTTCATTATTATTTTCTTGTAACATCTGAAAGTTACTGACTGTTGCACAGCAAGCACTGCAGAAACAGCATTTGATACTGGATACTGGACTAAATAGCAGTTTCCTAACAATTCAGAGAAGACACACATTTCTGTGCACTCAATGATACTTCACAATCTTTGAAAATTTAATGCCCTGAATAACTACAATTTTCAGCATTCTGACAGACTACAGCTCAAGGGAAGCATGCAAAACAGCAATAAAAAAAAATCAGTTTCTTAAGGAGGCCATAAGGTACCTTAATGAACACGCTTAGGCTTTCCAAAGATGAACGGGTCATCAATATATTCCTAGAAAACAAAACAACAAGCTTTATTTGCAAGATAAAAAATTATTCACAAAACATAAATCAAGTCCATTTAACAATGCAGTGGAAGCCCAACCATGAAGACACAAACTCCACTGATGAGAAGTTGTGAAGACTATAGAACTGCCCTCAGAAAAAAAAAAAAAGATGACCTAAGCTCATATAAACAATCAACTCTATTCCTGCAGCATCCATACCAACTCTACTATTTCACTTCCGCCCTGTTTTAAGATCAGTTTTGTTATTTTTAGAGTCCCTATTTTCTCCATGGAGTAGCTAATAACAAAGTTAGCCTCAGGTAACTGGACAAAGTCAACTCAGTCTTACTACGAATAGCCCAGTAATAGGGCACTGTTGACCTTAGCCACTTTACCTCATGGGAGGTCAAATGATCTCAGCTGTGCTGTGATCACTGAACAGGGCCAGCTCCTGATTCATCATTTGCTTTCTTATGACTATAAGCCAGTTAACAAATGTAGCCCCCAAAAGCAGTCAGGGCAACTACACAGTCACCTGGCAGGAGCTGTTCTCTTTTCTTACAGGTAAGCATTCCTTACTCTGTGAATACCATCATCAGTGCTCAAATATCCACAGTGGATTTGGAGTTGTCATCCCCACAGAGCAAACTGTCTTTCTCAAGTCTACTTCTTAAAACCTGAATAAAATGCCAACAGGGTGGGCATTTTCCATGAGGGTAAAAAAATGTATGAACATAAAAATGCATCCAAGGTGGACAAGATTGTTGCAGCCTGTTCCAAGACTTCTTGAGAAGAGGCTAAGCATGGTCAGCTGTACCTGATCCATAGTAATTTCTAGACTTCATTCCAGTGCTACAACAGGCTTCATCAACTTTTTAAAGTTGAACAAAGATGCTTTGCATTAAACGTAAATTTAAAGACATTCCATTTTCTAAACTGAAAGCCATTTCTTCAGAGAGCTGGAGAACTTATTAAAGCAGACAACAGTCAGAACTCCTCTAAGTTTGCACAGGCCAACTCTCGACCTTTTGGAGCAAAATATGGGATACAGTACATTTAAGAAAGTACTGTCACAGAATGGATGGAAAAATTATCATGCTTCACCATGCAGTAATATATATTTCATCTTTGTCATGCATGGAAGTAGATACAAAAGCATCTCCAACACCATATTTCAACTTTCATACCTGTTGAAATCTCTACTTCTCCCCTACTTTGAGGGAAGGGCTGAAGAAAGGTATAATTTCACCACATTGTATTAAATTTACATAAGTTTCAGATGAATGCTGCTCTTTATATGCCATTACAGTTCATGTCTAATTGCAGACTTCAATCAGAATGGAAGTCTCATTCTGGAAAACTGCAGCAAACCATTAATACACCCCACAAAGCATGGCCACCTAACAAACATTCTGTACTTGTCCTAAAGCTTGGATGTGTTTGTACTGAAAAATAAGAGATCATGTTGCCCGGGAACCCATAGCAGAGATGTAATAGCGAGCAAAGAAGTGCTTTATGTACCTAAGATCTTTGTGTAATTAAAGAAACAAAGTAGTAGAAATGTGAAAGTACATGAAATAAGGTCAAGCACAAAAATCATACCAAGATACAAAAGAGGGAAGGAATAAAGAGGGAAGGAAGTGAGACCAACAGAAAATAGAAGTACTGGAGATCCTGGACACCTCATCCCATCTCTCAGAACTTCATTTACAGCAAATATGGATGTTACTCACACAATTTAAGGACAGGATCTTGGAAACACAGCATAGCATGTGTTCAACATTTTAAAAGACAGTCTGAAACACCTATACAACAAAATCCACAGTGATTCTGTCTACAAGAAAAGCATTAAAACTTACCACCTGGAAACAAGACATCAGTTCTGCCCATTAATCTCAGCACGTAAACACGCTTTTCCCCATTATCCTATCTTTTTGGGATGAACATCAGTCCCATTAGCTCATATAACCTCCAAAGCAACCTTGTACTCCTGCCAAATAAGTGTGCTTCTCCCTGTTTCTCCATTTATTCACCTGCATACAACATGGTAAGCCTTTATCCCTTCAGCACTACATGTAAAGAGAGAGAAGACCAAGTGGGAGAAGACGAAGGAAAAGGGAGACCGTGACTACATAACTCAAGGGAGGCAAATTTAGTCTTATTTCTTACTGTGTTCTAAAAGTGAATTGTTTAAATCAGGCTTCCAAAGCAGATCTCTAAGACTTGTTCTATTTCAGCAGCTGCTGAAAACATCCACACTAAGCTTTTCTTCACCTCACAATAGCTCTCACACACACAAATTAGTCTCATAGCTTCACTTGTGTATGCGGACAAGCACAAAGAGCATGCACTTCGGAACTATTGCCTGTGCAGCTTACAAGAAACTTGGTGCACTACTGCTGTCCCTTAGGAGTGCATTAAGAGAGAGAAAACCAAGTGAGAGAACCTTGGACTGGATGGGTACAGCCTAACACAGGCAATTAGAGATCCTATCTACACCTGAAGGATAACTTCTGAAACACCAAACAGAGATGCCTACACTGCTGACAGGTAGAACACAAGCATGCCTGGTGATCTACTAAGCCACTTACTAGAGTAGCAGTCACTGTGCATATGCTCAGGCATGTGGATTCCCATGTGTTCGGGTGCTTCCCTACCACAGTTGTCAGTTCACTGTCAGTGTGAACAAACTCTGCCCCACAGAGTAGCTCCAGAGATTCCACAGCCTTTGCAGACATACACAAACCATCCAATACTCCTTTGGTCTCCTGCCATTCTACACTACAAAAGTAGCCTCGGGTCACAAGAGCTCGCAACAGACCCCAAAATCACTAGCCTATGAAGTGAGTTTCTGACATGCCCTTTAAACAAGCTTCACATAAGGAAGTATTTCACCTGCAGCTAAAAGAAAAATGTCTGCATGTCAGAAGGAAGAGTCATTCCTCAGTAGGCAACAAGTAGCAAATAGAAGGCTTGCTCCCAATAGCACAGGTGGGAAGAACAGCCTGGCTCCCATCATTGTCATGATGGGGGGATCATACAACTGAGGCAACAGTTGTTAAGCAGGAAAGGCGTCAGGCACCTTTACACACTACACAAACCATAGAATGGCCTGGGTTGAAAAGGACCACAATGATCATCTGGTTTCAAACCCCTTGCTGTATGGCAGGGTTGCCAACCACCAGACCAGGCTGCCCAGAGCCACATTCAGCCTGCCATCTGTGGCATTACTTTAAGATCTACTGTTTCCTGCGTCCAAACTTACCTGCACCAAAAATACAAGTCAAAGCAGTTTGGAGTAATATAATTAATGTAACTTTTTTGTGATACAGTGCTTGACAAGATAGGTCAACATAATAAATATTTCAGCAGTTTAAAACTTGCACCAAAGGAATAGGATATAACAATGTGGACAGTATGAATGCAGCAAGATAACACAGCTAAAAATGTCTGTAATACACATCCTCAGAGGAATTCTAGGCCACGCAACCAAAACTGGACACAGAAATTCCTTTTCAGAAACACCGGATAACCCAGTAATTACGATGTGGTAACATCATGAATATAACACAGTGGCTACAGCACATCCATGCCAAGCATTACGCAATTCCTTGGTAAGAACATGACGTTCCCTTTTAACGCAGGCCAATGACAGCAGGCCAATATAAAATACTACAGTCAATCTAAACTAGTCAGAATTTACTGTTCTTCTGATTAGCAATAATCTGCTCACCTTTATACACCAAATATACCTCATCCCACACTAACTTGCCCATGTGCCTATACTGTAAGGTGTTAAACAAACCCAAACTTCTCTACGGTAAAGCACATTTTAATGTTATATAAGTGTTAGAGAAATAAGGGTGTGGCAAGAACCCAGGAAGAAAGAAGAAAATTGGTTTATCAGTCTGTATCTAAAGCAAACACTTCCTGGTCAGAATAAAGTCTGAGGTAGAAGAAAAGTCTAGAATCCACTTCAAAGTACTTTGCTTTCTTCTCATACTGCAGCTCAGCTCCACCAAAAATCTCAGTTTACCAAAACCAGTGATTTTTCACAGGGGAAATTTATTAGCATGAAACTATATTGTTCAGAGATAAGCTCAAATAAGCCTATTTGAAACGCTGAGGCTGTTATGAGCTTCAATCTTTGTGATTGAAGATGTGTGGAAAAGGTATTAGACTGAGAGCTAGCACAGTATGCTGACTCTATGATGCCCTGTGGAGGCATAAAAGGAATATGAGTAAGCTGTAAGAATGAAGATTACTGAAATTTTCAGACTGCATTAGTGTGTTAAAATAAATATGGGAAGCCTACAACAAACCTTAGCAACCGACAAATAAAGAAACCACATAGTCTTTGGATCAGAAACGGATCTAGAAAACTTGCTGAATTTGAAGAAAGTACACAAAAGGCAAAATCTTACTGCTTGAACCTTGACATTAGATCAAGGCCAACTACAGGACAGACTTCATTCTCTCACTGCATGAGGTTGGACACTCTGCCCAAACGACCAACTGCTCTAACAAACCGTTCTCTCTTCTACTTTAATCACCTGAAACTGTCAAAACTACACCAGAACTGAAGGATATGACTTCTTTCTTCCACTCCAGGCCAAAGGCCCTCTCTGAGAGCACCCCCTCAGGCCAGGGACAAGGCCTCTACACCTCAGGGCCACGTCCAACTCACAGCACTGATGGCAAGGCTCGCATCAAGGGAAGACACTGTCCCATTCTCCAGTGAAACTTCATCGCTTTGCAGAAATAGAGTAAATAATAAAAATAAGAAATCACAACAGCATGCCAACACACACAAGTGTGAGAAGGGGCCTGGTATTGTAGCACAGTGACAGGGGCTCTCTCTGACATGAGCTAAGCTATAGGCCCTGCTCGTGAGTTTCATATTTGAGATCTTCTGTACAGTGTACATGAGCAGCACTGTGCTCCAGCTAAGGTCAAGGACTAACAGACACCTGGACACCCAGAAGGCAGGAAAAGTTTGAGTTTCACCAAGTTCAATGGCCCCAAACAGTCCAAAGAACACGGAGACATCCAGAAAATAAGCCCACACATTTAACTGACAGCTCGACATATTTTGGTTTTATCAAATATACATCATCAAAACTAACCATTCACAGATAAGTAATTATTTGCTGCCCATCACAGGGAGGCACGTGGATTAAATAGTTGACAACAAGCAATAGCCAGCTCCAGAAGTTCGCTGCAGTTCTGTGAAGTGACAGCTTGCATTAGCTGCCACCTGTAAGCACTCTGTGGTTACAGCAATGCTGGCAACTTGAAGCAGTTCTTCATTGCACTAACAGACTTGGCCACAACCCTCTGGCTGGAACAGTTACATAATTTCCACCTCGATTTGTACTGATGTAAGGGGCGGCCACTCAATGTCAGAAGTACAAGTACACGGCAGTCTTACGTGCGGAGAACAAGTTGAAAGAAACTTCATGGCTGAAAGCCAATTGACAACTTATCGCAGCACCCTCCCAGGGTACTCTGGAGCCACGTTGCCATGTCTGCCCAGAACACGATGTCAGCAGTTCACTTTGCAAGATCCACAGAACTGCCACGGACGCCCCGTGGGGTTTTATAAGCTCTCACAGCACACAGAGAAGGCTGCATCCTACCCAACCCACAGGGAGACATGAACCGCCAGTCCAGCTGTTACCGTGTGGCTCGCTATTTGCGTGAAACTCTTCTTACATAAACGGTTTTGTAATCACACATGTAATAGCGTGCACCCCATGTCAACAGGCACTCCGCCGCGGTCTCGGGGCACAGCACGTCCCCGCTCCCGGACCTGTTGCCCGCCCCACCTGTGGCACCGCGCAGCACCGGGGAGCGCCGGGAGAGCAGCGGGGGGGCGCTAAGCCCCACTCCCGTGCCCGCCCACCCGGTACCCGCGACACCGACCTCTCACCGCGGCATCACACCACGCGACCACCGGAATGGAGCCCGGGATAACGCGGAGGGACCGGCCACGTCGAACGGGCCGTCTCCCCCCTCGGCCGCCGTGCCGGGAGCCGCCCCCCCACGCCAGCTCCGCGCACCGGGCCGCCGCCGCCGCCGCCGCCCCCTCCCTCGCTCCCTCTTTCCAAATCCAAGGATCGGGGGCAGAGCCGCCGCCCAGCGCCGGCCGCGGGGCGGCACCCACCCGGCCCCATCCCACAGCCCTACGGATGGATCCGTCCCGTCCCGCGGCGGCGGGAGAGACTCGGCCGCGGGGTTACGTAACCTCGGCCCGGCGGACCAGGGGGAGCGGGGCAGCCCACCGGGCCCCGCACGGTCGCCGATCGCCCCCCACCAGCCTCCCGGCCCCGCCAGGACGCGGGGAAAGCGCCGCGGGCCCCCAACTCACCGCACGCCTCACGTCCGCCCAGCGCGGCGCAGCCCGGCACCGACTTCATACAGGCAGAAACGTGACCGGGCGTCCAGAACCCACCCCTCCCGCGCTGCCATTGGCTGCGGCTACGTGACACAGACGAAGGACCGGGGCGGGGGCGGGGCGCGCTGCTCTTCCATTGGCTGCGCCGCACGCCGCTCACTTTACATAAGCCTCACGTGTGACACCATGTTTCCACCGCCGGCCGCCACCGCCGCCGAGTCTGCCCCGACGGCCTCCCCTCCCCCTTCCTATCGCCACCACCCCCTTCCTGCCACCACCACCCCCCCCTACCTCCTTCTCCCTCTCTTCGCACGGCTCGCGGAGTGCTCACTGCCGCTAGGCAACCCCCCGCCGCGCTGCGCCGCGCCTCCTTCGGACCGCGGTTGCCGAGGAGGGCAGAGGTTACATCACGCCCCGGGGGAGGGGGGGGAGCGGCTCCGCCCCGCCTCTCAGAGCCGACCGTGACGTCAGCGCACGTCCTCTGGGCTAGCGCGCGGGGGACCGTTGGCGGTCGCGGCGCGCGCTCGCGGGCTCTGGGGGGGCGCGCGACGAGGCTGCCAACAACCGTTAACGGTCGCGGCGCGCGCTCGGCCCCGCCAAGGAGAGGAGCGCGGGGCGGGCGGCGACAGGCGGAGCGAAGGGGCGGGGCGCGTTGCCTGGGAGCGCCGTACACAGACCCCAAACAGCGCCCGGCCGCGGGATGCGGGGCTCCATCACGAGGCGCTCCGCCCGGCCCCACCCCGGGCCTCGAGAAGCGGACGGGCGAGCGAGCTCCGCGCCTCAGAGGGAGCGGGCTGCGGTGCGGAGGCAGCCGCGGGAGGCGCCGAGACGAAGCTCCTTACATAAGTGAGGAGCGCCTGTGTCCCGCTCCCCGATTTTGTACGCGCCCCGGGCTTTCGAAACGTGCCGGCTGACAGCGCGGAGCTGCCTTCCTCCTGCTCTTAGCGAGCCTGGAATCACCACAGAAAGGTTTAACGCTAAGAGTCTCTGAGGCGTTCAAGGTACGTCCTGTTCTTGTGGAAAACCAGCCCCAATTACTGTGCAATTATTTCCATTCCAAGTGTAAGAATGAACTTTTCGTGTTTATTCCCCATTAAATCTCCCGACGCTCAGTATTGACGGTGCCCGTCTCACGGCAAAAAGTTCACATATTCCTCGAGCTGGTGGCGCTGAGTTGTGCCCAGGCCCCGCACTGTGGTGCAGGAGGACCTGAGATGTACTGCTGCAGCAGCATTGCCCGCTGCTGGCGGTCCTGCACTTCTGCTCATTAACATTAACGAGTTTATTCCACGTTATGAGCCTTCTTTCTCTTTATTGTCACGTGTGGCGATGAAAAGAAGGTACAGAGGAGATGCCAAAGCTCTGCCAGCTTTGGTGTGTGTACAGCAATTGAGTGTAACTGCATGCATGAGGTTGCTCCATGGGAAGTAAGGCAGCAGAGAGCCATCAGGGCTTCCACTATTTATCTACAAAATGAGGTTAATGCTGCTTCCCTCCCTCACTGTGGTGGTTTTAAGGATAAGTCCATTAGGTCCATAGATATTTAAGCAACGGCTGTTGCAGAAACAGCTTGTGAGTAAAGTACCCAGCAGTATTTAACTCCTGGAGAGGAGAGGGGGCAGGGAGCGGAAGCATTAGGACAGGATCCCACAACTGGATTTGTTGCAAAGCACAAGTCAGCTTATCAGGATCCCTATTTTAGTTTGCACTCCCCTGAAGTTTCTAATTTAAAGACTAATCCTAATTAGATACGCTGTATTGTTTGGTCAACTTAATGGTGTTAGTGCTTCACACCCAGAACTTCATCATTCTGTTTAAATTATCTTTGTTAGGGATGAATGGATGTACAATGACATTCTTGGGTTCCATGGGATGCTGGGTTTTTGTCATATGCCCAAACTACCCATCTTGTCTGTGTGCTGAGGGCTACACTTCTAAACATATGTTCTAAGTCAGGCCCAGAGGACCCTGCCTATCCCAGCACCTGGATGAGTTCCAGGACAAACAGAACAGAGGCACATCCATCACTGTAGTGCAACACACCAGTTCTAGCAGGAGAACAGTGATTACCATCACCAGAAAAAGCCAGTACCTTTTCTGCCCTAGTATCGACCAGTTGCATTATTTGAGTTCTGCTTATTTTAAAAGGATACAAAACAATTGTTTTGGTCAAGGTAGATGCTCACTGAGAATCAATTTAAAGTTCTATTCTTGCCGCTTTTTTTGGTATTAGTACAATAAAATATATTTAAAAAAAAAAAAGAAAAAATGCCACACACAAGATGGGAAAGCGGTTACTCAAAGAATGATTGTGCAACTGGAACAAAGTCAGTCCAAAAGTTTTCTACTGTACCTATTTTCTGAAAGTTGGCATCATGTATAAAAATTCAAGTTATTCCAGGCATCACCAGTATAAAATAAGTCAGGTACATGTCTTCTGGAGCAACGAATATTACTAGTGATACAATGGCTCATCTGCTAAGAAAACAAAAGAAGATGGTTGTAAGTGGCAACAGGACAAAACTCAAAGCGAAATAGTTTAATTTTCAGCTTCCTCTGCTTACTAAGTAGCTGTAGCACAAGGGCTTTAGTAGCAGAATAAGTAGAGTACATTTCCTTGTGTGTACACACAAAAAAATTAGGATTAATCCACACAGAAGTCAAATCCTTTATGTAAGTCCATTTCACCATACAACACCTCATCTCTCACTAGCATCACGTGGGGCTCTGTGCTGCTTTAAATTCTACCTGGCTCCTCCATCTAGTTTGGCAAGGCAATTACCTACCTGTGTGAAATGGGAGGGAAGGCAGCAGGCCTTCCTAGTAGAGTCCAGCCATAAGCAGCCAGGTTCGGGCTCTGCAGTTATATTTCAATTGCAGAACAAGCATTACTCAAACTGCACTATTGATACTTCGTTTGCTACTGAATCTCTTCCTTGATTAACTTTTTTTTGTTGTTTCAGCATAGTGTCTGAATTACCGAAAGATGAATTGCTAGAGCTCAACTTTTTTTTTTCTTCTTTTCTTAATAGGTTTTACATTAATAAAATGTAATTTAGGAAAACTTCTTGTATGTGAAACTGCCCCCTACCTCCATCACTGCTTAATATTATCAGTACTCCAACCCCCCACACCTCCACCCCCCAAATACTGGACCTTTCCCCAGCATATTTACAAAATAAAAGTTAGAATTTGCTTAGCAATAGTATTTCAGTCAGTTCTGGTGAACAGAGGAACATATTGACAATATCAGCTTTTTTGGGGGGGAATTGGAAAAAAAAAAACAAAAAAAAAAAGCAAATACTTCAACGAGGAGAAAAAAATGCTACCTGTTTGGGGTTACAGCACAGTACTGATGGAACTGTATACTGTTAGGGAAAAAAAATCACTATTTTGCATCTGGAGCCTGCAACTAGTTCTTCATTCCTAAGTCTAATTACTCATCATTTGCAGTGGCACTGAGTTCCATCAATTCTTGCAGAGATCTGGAAAGGCATTTTGCTAATGAGCAAGAGGTGTCACTGTTACTGTCTGTACAGATGAAAGTTGAGGGAAGACTACTTACCTTCATTACGGTGACTACATGGGTAGGCTTTTCTTGAAGCATTCTCAAGTGTAGGAACAAAGTACAACAAAGAGAAAGCTAGCAATATCTACACAATCTTGGAAACTGATCAAAAGTTCTTTGCAAAGATGAACGGCTGTCCCTGGCCAGAAAACCTGAAGAATTCTGGGGAATATTATTTTTCATTCAGCCCACATTCTGAATGTTTTCTTGTTATTTTTATTCAGTTTCTGTTGACAACAGCAGTGTAATTTTAAGGTTCAACTACCTTGAAAAGTGACACATAAAGGAACATTGCATTGTTCTGATTTAGAAGGGCTGAAAAAACACAAATGGAAGTTGTGTGTCTCATCACCATAACTGTGTGCTGATCCCAAGTCCCTTACACAAATTCAGGCGTAAATACAGCTTTGTGGACTCTCAGGTCAGGGTTAAGCTGTAGTGTCTATCAGCAACTCATTTTCAAGTCATTCTCACAGAAGTCTGAAGAAAGCCTGAACTTCAATCCATTGGGCCAAAAAAGTTTTCAAGCTTCCTGTGTAATTCGGAGCTTTACTGTATGGTTTCACAATCTACCTAAGGTGATCGAAGGCCTTGCAGAAGCACCAAAAGGAATGGTAACACCACCTCTACTAAGTTAAAAAGTAGAGATTAAGCAACTGTGCTGTCAGCTGGATTGGGAAATTGATTGGACTGAAAAATTCCAGGACAGCAGATTTCGGTTGGGCCATATCACAGCTGCAGGACCACTAAAGCCAATAGGATAGAAGGCCAGGTTTTGTGTCAGAGCAGAGATTCCAGAACCTATTGATATTAGCTGACAGTATGTGGAATTATGGAGTCAGGCATTTAAAATGAAATGTGCATGTCATTAAACTAACGTAAGAACACTGGTAAGGGATGACAAACAGAAAGTGAATCTTCATAATGTTGGATTTTTATGTCCTCTTCTGCACTGAAAAGAAGCTCCTCCATCAGGCTGGCGTTCGCCATTCAGAACCACCCATTCAGATGTAAAGACAGCTTTCACACGTCTCTGAGCTGGTGTAACACTTTGCTTTCATCAAGGGGGGCAGCACTTCTCTTCATGCCCTCCCTGCTAGTACCATGCTACCATATTTATGGTTACATGGTCTTCACCCTCTCTTTTGCCTACGCCACTACTCACTTGGCAGTGAGACAGAAACCTTTCTGAGTTCGTTTCCACACATCAAGCAACCGAATCTGGTTTCTTGGTGAGTAAATGCAATTCAGAGTCAATTCATGGCATGGACAGGACAAACATGAAACAAACGGGAAAGATCTTTTTAAAGGCAATGAGACAGAAAACATTTCCAGAGTTTTTGCTACCTGAAGCATGCAAATTTCTGGATTAAACACAGGCCAGTGTAGTGCATCTCCTTGAGATAGCTGGATTGCTCCACAAACACCTGAACAGCAGGGCTGTGATCTGGTGCTGTGCCTGCAGAACAGTGTGTAACCCAATCCTGGGCTCCCCACAATGTCTGATTTCTCAAGTGCTCCTTCTATTGATTTAAAAGTACATAGAGTTACTGACTTCCATCACACTTATCATCTCTTTTTGAACTCCAGTAGAGTGAGATGTTATCATTCTTAGCAAAATGAAGCAAGAAATACACCTTCTCTTAATAATAGAATAAGGCTAAAGAGACAAGATCTAGGTACTGGCTTCCCCTCTGGTGAGCATTTATGCAATTTTTATTAAATAGTCATTACGTAAAACATTGGATTATGACTTGGCACAGGATTGGAACTGGGCTCTTTCTTGTTCCCGGATAAGCTTTCAATAGTTGTGCCATGGGGTTATTCTGCTGCCCTTAGCTGCCAGAAACCTGTGGGTACAATGCTTCTGTAATTTGTTCCAGTTCTAAGAAACAGATTATAACATTAACTGATTATAACAGAAACCTTCGTAAGAAATTGGATGCTGAGCAGCAGACTGTTAGAATCTCTTCCATAACTCAACCCAGACTATCAGGTATTCATCCGTTCTAATTCAGTTACTAATCACAGCTCGGTGATTTATAGTTGGTAAAGAAGGAAAAGCCAGATTTTAAATTATAAGGAGCCTATTTCCTCATATTTCTGAAGTGTCTCTTAATTAAAAACACTTCATTTTTAGATTGAGTTTCTCATTACCATTCAACCTCAATTAGTTTTATGGTGTTAGTTCACACAAGACACTTTGAACTCAATGCTGCTGCTACTGAAGTCAATGGAAGCTTGGTTTTGTTTTCAAGAGAGTGTGCATACTAACTTAACTGGCTGTGTTTGCTTCAGAAAGAGAAACTAAATTAGAAAGTTCCGATAAGCCACAAATTAAAAGAGAAAGAGAAATGACAACTCACTTTGCACTCTTTCACTGATCCATACCACTAAGGACTGAGGGACTGTCACAAATTCTATTATTCTATT